CCTTGCTTCGAATTCATGTCTTGATGATCTAGATGAATATAATATAAAGCACTATAACCCGTATCAGAAATACGTTATTTTTATAGATGCTATGTTTCAAACAAATAATGTAGAGATCTCTTAGCCGTAGACGAGGCACTTACATAGCGTCTTACTAAAGTTTGAAGTGAACTACTGAGACAGTTCGTGGGATACCAAACAGGAATTGGTGAGTCATAGTGAAAAGAGTTTCGGATGTAACCCATATATACCACTTGGTATGGGCGTAGATGAATATGATATCGAAAAATACGATGAGGATCAATAAAAGTAAACTACTACAACAAAAACCGAAACTATTTAGTCGAATAATAAATGTTATATTTAAAACTATTATTTCCGACGTTTTCGATTAATCATGAATTGAGCTGTTAAAATTACTACAATCTTCACAAGCCTCATTCTGATCATAATCATGTGTTCAGTGGTGACTGGCTCCAAGATGATTTACTGGTGTTCTAGTGAAAAACTGTGACTAGTAGAGTTCGATCCGTGTCGGGTAGAGTCAGGTATCTATCGTCAAAAATGGGTAAATGGTTGCGCAGCCATTCGTGGATCGATGGAAGTTAGACAATAACACCACTGGATACCTTCTCAGTGGTCTACAGATTAAGCGCTCGCGCGCGAGAACGAGGGACCTGGGTTCGCACCTTGCGAGTGGGATTGCGGATGCACACTGCTGTGGAGTCCCATACTAGGACGAAACGGCCGTCCAGTACTTCCAGGTTTTCACTGGTGATCTGGCTCACTTCGACCCATGAGTTCAACCATTAAAATTACCAAACTTTCCGCAAGCCCCATTAATTATTTTAAAAACCTTGCTCCGGGTAACTAGAAGTTGTAGGTTTGTTGTAAAATGGTTGTGATTATTGCTAGAACAATACACTTGAGTTGATTATTCGTAGTCTAAGAGTAAACTTTATTGCCTACGCTGGAATTTTCATTTAGTTATCTGGGTCGTAAGTCACAAGTGTATCAATCAACCGAGCTTCAGTAATAACCTTGAGAAAAATTCGGACTTGAAATAATGATAAGGTGATGAACATATACTAATAGGTTATGTGGTGATTTCCCCTGCTGAGATACATAAGATCATCCTTGGTTAAGCGACAGATAGTTCATGTTCAACGATGTATTTAGTTAAATATCTTTTCGGCCAAACTAAAAACCGAAGGGGAAGACGCATCTCCCGAAGACAAAACGCCATATTCGGACACCAATACTGTCCAGACTTAGAACATCTGCCAGAGGAAGTGAAGAGGAGTAGAGAACCAGCCGTGAGAGTGAAATATATGCAACAGACATTCAGATTTTGCACATAAAACCTCTAAAATTGAAAGATACCAACCCAGTCAATTCAGAAATCACTGATAAATTAGTTTGAAGAGGTACCTGGGAAGCTGCTGATGTGTTAGGAAGGGTTTGACTCATGCTGGCTAGTAGTTGCAATGGATGTGTAGCACAGCATACTCGTGATCTCGTCCTAATGCGTAGGTCATCGCCCTCACCTATGTTGGTTTCAGTTAAATTAATAAGGTCAGCACAAATATCGAAGACCTACATAATTGTTTGTTGTGAGGAATTACAGCTACAGCTCACTTTGGTCCAAGTTCAGTTATAGTGATCTTAAGACGTGGTCCGCCTTGGAGGGCTTGCCCTTAGTAAACACAGTTTCGATAGCTTGCTATATCCGGTAGGGATTTATAAGCCTTCATATTTACGCTGAGTTCTATCTATATCTGAGAGAACGTAATTATAAAAAATTCATAAAGACCCTCTTTTAGATTGTCCTTTTCAAGCCTGGAAGTGATCACGTGTGTCACCAAATTATATGGCTACTCAAAAGTGTGACACAAAGCTTTAAGTGGCTGACAAAATTTATTCTGTTTCACAAATACCATGCTTCAACAAATGTTAGATATGCTTCATATGAATTTGAATCCAGGGTTCTGTTGAATATAACCCAAGTTATGATCAAAATTATTTATTATGCTCTCCACAGTTCATCCGTAGATAGCTTGGAGAATAGCATTCGGAAAGATAAGAGGATATGTAAATAAGCCTCATATATTTCTTCACTGAGCAATAAGAATAGAACTAGGGATGTACAGTAAAAATGGAACCGATCCCCTTGCAATACATTGTTCATAAACCTCTTCAACTTCGTACATCATTTCAAAATTTTTGTAAGCAGACAGAGCCCTAGACAGATTGTTCTACGTGCCTGCACACCTTATGGTAAATCACTTCCCAAAATAAGTAGCTTTGTAAGCAGCTGAAGTACTGCAACAGAGAAGAAGCTTTGTCAGTTTTGGTGAGTAAAACGTAGCACGGCCGACTGAATTTTCCAAGAGAATGCTAAATACATACGTTTAGACGGATAGTACGCAACAGAAGTATTTTAGATAACCACTTTCAATCAACCGTATAAAATGATCAATATTCATCTCAGATTTCTGAAGAATGTGTAGCGGTAAATAAATCCACAAATTAAGTAGCTTCGTAAGACTTCAACATTAGATGCTGCCCACATTAATTGTAATGGACTCATCTAGCTGAAGGCGCTTGGTCATGCATCCGCACCAGATCACGAGTGGTAACGCCGTGCTCAACAACCCAAGCAATCGCTAGCCAGATTAAATCAGATGATCCTCGATATATTGATAGCAAATCGAATATATCTTCGAACCTCCTTTCTTCTATCTTTTGATTTCACATGGTGGGTGCGCTTCATATTAGAAGGTGTTACTGGTTAAAGCGTTGTCAAACTCCAAACACATGTGGCATCTTCATTGGTGAGCCTATTCTATTCTTAAACGCGGACATCTGTCCGATCGACAAAAGTTAGATCAACTCCTTAATAGCATCGACCTGCAACATGGTTCTGCAACAGACATGTTGCAAAGAATTAGAAAAGCTATAGGCCAAAGAACTTTCGATGATGGTCTATTTAAACATCTTTTCTTGTCGAAACAACCTCAACAGGTGCAAGCTGTGCTTGTCTCGTTCCACAACAACGCCTTAGACGAGCCAGCTGCATCTGACGACCGCATTTCAGAAATCACAAAATCCATCAAAGAAAAGCTTCAAACGACCCAGAACGACATAACAGAGTTATGTCATACACTTACATGTTATCTTAAATTTCGTAACGACCGTAAACTGTCACACACCTCACGAACGAGCACTTTAGGTAGGCTATCTCCCTCTAGGTCAAGAAAAACTGATAACCACGACTGGTGCTGGTATCATAACCAGTATGGAAAGTCCTCTAGAAATCGCAGAAGACCCTGCGATTTTCCCAACTCAAAATCGACCGACGCGAAAAACAATTCGGGAAACTTTCAAGCCGGCACGCGTTAACGGCAACTGTAGCCGGCAAACATAGCCGTCTGTCATACGTCGCAGATGTTATAACGAAAGTTCGCTACCTCCTCGATACTGGCGCAGAAGTTAGCGTTCTCCCAGCGAATTCCAACGACCGGCTTCACGAATCGGTTTTAAATCTACAGGTGGCAAACGGAAAGCCTATCGTGACATACGGTAAAAGGTACGTTTACCTTAACGTGGGTTTACGCAAACCCACACATTGAATTTTCGTTGTTGCAGATGTTTCTATACCAACCATTGATATAAACCTTCTACAACACCATGGTCTACTCATCGATACGCGCGGACGGAGGCTAGTAGACGGAAACACTAATTTATCCGTTTGCGTAACTTCTTTTTCTGGTTGCAGATTATCCCCAGTCATTAAGCATACGATGGACTCATTCTATCAACCACTATTCGATAAGTATTCTGTAAACATTCAGAAATGCCAAATCGGAAGTGACTCATTAGACTGCCTAGGACACACTATAGATGCGCAAGACATTCGACTCCTTAGAGCCAAAGTGGTGGCCATTCTGGATTACCCAGAACCAACCACCGTCAAGCAATTACGCACGTTCAACAAACTTGTAGGTTTCTATAGACAGTTCATACCTAAGTGCGCGTCACTTATGAAACCGCTAACCGACCAACTTCGTGGAAATGCGAAATCCATCAATCTAGACGACACAGTGAGAAAAGCATTTTCCACAATTAAGGATCTTGTCGCTAAAGCAACTATGCTTGAACATCAGGACACTGAAGCACCCATTAGTATTGCAGTAGTGGGGGTGTATTGTAGGTTCAGCGAAATGTCACTAAGCCCTAACCAAATCATTCGGCGGTTGGGTCACTGAATATCGAACCGATCATCGACCTCTGTCAAGGTCAAGTATAACCAGTCACTTAGTCGTACGCCATGAACTGGCCCATGCGGTGGTGGTCTTACGTCCATTTAAATATCCATATTTGTGTGTACCAAATGATCTTATTCACCGTACTTAGGGATTATGTTATATCGCGTTTAAATAATCGAAATCAGAACAACCGTATGCTGTTTGAAATCGTGAGTACACAAAGTCGCTTGATGCAAATTTGGAGAATTACGGAAATTTTGTATGCTATTACACAGCCGCGTCATTAGCGTTGTTTGAATTCATTCATGATCTGGTGTACGAAATTCATTTAAGCATTAATTACAAGATAGTTAATGACTCTTGTGAAGTAACAAGTATTGCTTCACTGTTTATTTCCTATTTTCTAGATGGCGTAACTAAATGAAATTGTGTCATACACCTGAACAAGCACTTTCATCTTAAAAATCTCTACATCTTAGAACTTTCAATCCAACACACTAAAACTCTGCTAACAAAAGTAAATAATTCCACCAGTGATTTTTCAATACAATATGTTACATTTGTGAAGCTTAACTTCACATAAATATCCGCATTAGCGTACGTCTCATAAATATCATCTGCGAATCAAGCACACAACAATAGATGAAACAATTTTTTTATTTTTGCCAAGGCAGGGTCTTTATTATTTTCTCACTATCAAGACATTAGATGTTTAATTTGTTTAAACACACTAACGATTTTATCCTATTGACAGGTGATTTTTAAAAGGGCGTGGATGACCTAGGTTTTTTCATCTTGTTTATTGTATTTCGGTATGTTGACTTGAGAGGTCGTTATGTATCTCACATCCAGTTAAACTTATATTGTTCACTCGTAAATCTTTCTGATGCATTTATAGTTCATTCACTAGAGCCTTTTGGATCCCTATGTAATGGTTATGGTGCTTGAAAAAATGTCGCTTAAGGATATTGGGTCACAGTATGATATACTGACGACCCTATGCGTATTATCAGCCCATCTAGAAAATTTCCCAGTCATCAAACAATTGAGAATTCAAGGCAATAAAGAAGTAATAAAAAATCAGCTTTAATAGTAATAAATAACTGTCGTTATGTAAACTATCCTTTTTAATAAAGTAAGAATGACAAATTTACATGAACAAATACATAATAAAATTTTAATCAAGGTTTGTCACATCTTAGAGTCTTCGTCACTACTCGATATCAGTCATAATGCAGTAAGTTTAAGGATAGGATGAAGAGTTAAGCTGGAGTTTTGAGTTGAATTTCCTGATTGGGGTGAGCGTTTTCAACATGAACTGACAGCAGCTTTAACACAATGTTTTCCTATCTTTCTGTTTACAAGCCTGACAAACGTAGGGCTGATAGTTATAGTGATAGTAAGAAAGGGAGAATATCTAGATTCACTAAACTCTTGATTACTTAATAATCAGCATAATGTACTTAGACACAATTTTGCTCAAAATTAAGTATGTCATGTAATTTAGCTTAAGCGCCACCTAAACTCTACTTTGCCGTTAACTAGTAGATATTTCCATTGTTTTCAAATTTTAAGAACCGAATTCGTTGATTTTCATTTGGTTCATAATGACACGTTATCGCTCCACTTAGAACTTTGCGCAAAATAATTGGATGCTATCTGAATTCCGATTATTAACTAAAGGTCGTCAGCATATTTTGCTTCTGTCGGATATTATTTTCCACCCTTATGTTTTCTTCTTGTGAACCATACATCCATCTTTTCAAACGATGTCACTTCTTGATTTCTGGAGCTGCTGTGCGACTCAATAATTCTATACATTTTCATGAGTGGTTGTATCATTTTCACATTGTTTGGAGATGTTTGCCTGAAACTAGTGCGGAAGACTTTTTATGATAAATAACTGTAACCAGACCAAGAAATTATTTTGGTCTGCGAACTTTTTGGCTGTTTATCTGATCCACATTATGTCAGTCAGTCAGTCAGCTACAACGTAGGACCAGGCACATATGTGCATCGGTCCAGGTTGCCATACCGCATTATGTACTAGAAACTTGAAGGAAATTAAAATTATTTTACAGGTTTCGACGTAGGTAGGATGACGAAGTTTGCTAACAATATGAAGTTAACTCTCGTTTGACTCACTGTGCATGTCCAACAAATCAGGGATATACACGTGAGTAATGTTTATTATGTATTTGGAAGTTACTGTCGTTTACTTAAAATACATTACTCAGCTTTAGTGCCTGAAGTTTCTTTCTATACAGTAATTTATACCAACTCTAAAACAGTTTTCACGAGTTAAACTTCAACATCTATAAAAAGGGTAATGTAGCGAAATCGGATTAGTACCGATCTTAATCATACTTGATAAATTTTCTCTAAACGTTTTCCTGAAACACAAATAAAATTGTTTTTAAACTAAGAACAAAGTTGAGATTCTTAGTTTATAGTACACTACGAATCAGATCAGCAGCCAATAGGTTCATATAATGAAGTCATGTATTGTTCTGGCCACGTTATCCTATCTAACGTGGCTCTTTGCTTGCCGAAATTGCGTGTTTAGGTACTCAGTGACCGAAAATGAACAGTATATGCCCCGGATACATCTAGCAATCCAAACTAGTCGCCTTGTCTGCCAATTCGCCATATCTTTTGTGCACTTTACTGTCTGACGTTTCTACTGCTCACTTACTAGATTGATATGCAATACAACTACATAGGAGACCCATGGAGTTAAATGCTCTGTAATTAATTGAAATAGTGGGTTAGTGTCGTGAAATTTCACTCTACGTACATAGAAAATTCTGTATGAGTGGGGAACATGTGGAATGTGATTTTGAAGTGGTACCCATACTTAATAGTCAAAAAAGTAATCTTAAGGTCAGGTAACATAACTCTATGCCTGATGTTGATCGTTTCTTGATGACACGTTGGGCTCAGTAACTTGGATACACACATTTATTATTGTTTACATTTACTGAAGAAGCGTAGGTAACTAAAGGGTTGTATATTCTGTTGTTTCACACTGAGTACAAAGATATACGTGTTACTACCCATAACTTGTCATAATTTCGTAGTTCTCATTCATAAACAGTGCACGACCTTGGACAATTATCTAGCGCATTAATATGTTTTATCCATAAGCTGCTTCTAACTAATCAGTGTCTTTCTTAGTATTTGATACTGTCGAAATCTTATTAATCAAGCCTATCAGCATCCTGTTTAAAACTGCAGGCTTTTAACCCTAAGATCCGTGAGTTAATAATAGGCAAACTTTCAAGATTAGGTAACAAATACAATTTATTGTTGTTAGGTTCATCTTAGCCAAGTGATCAACCATCATGTAACTATATTACCGGCGATCTCTTGCCTTCTCTGTTTCCATTTCAATATCCTTACTTCGTGTTGACTAGATTTTAGTGTGAGATTGCTTGAGACGATGTAACATTGTATATCGTTCTATGTTTCCTCATGTTCAGCGTTTTTTAAGAGATCTTTTCTGCTAGATGTCGACAATGTGAGTCGGAAAGTATCTTTGTTCTAACGTGCAGATGAAGTTTAGATTAATATGGAATACTTTAAGAATATTTAACTTTCCTTGGTATGTATTTCTGAGAAACGTTCTTTGTATAATTTTTTTGTTTGTATAGTGACAACTTTTTAAATTTTATAATCAGTGTTGTAATGCTTATCAAACGTTTCATGTTTGCTAGCTCTTGAAACCTGTTCTTTGCTTTGAACTCGAATGCATCTATATATTGGTTAAATCATGAATCATGAAAATACCCAAAAATATGAAGATCAATGGGCAAACTTTATACAGTCATTAGACGTTGACCCTGATAAAGCCAAGGGTATTGAACAGCTGCCCGATGATCAGAAACGTCAATTATTGGAAAATTATGTAAACGCCTGTGTACTGTTTTATTGAAATCATACTTTAGGCTGTAAAAAATCCAAAGTTTTCCGCTTTTCATTATGTTAGCCTGATTAAAGGCTTGCGTGTCGGGCGGTCAACATTGACAAAGGTTTGATTATTTTCGCTAACAATTTTTTTTAGAATCCACGTAAAGGTGATGCACAGCAAGCAAAAGAAATTCTTTTAGCTACAGAAATATCATTGCGAACAAACAATGTAGCGTAAGTTTCTAGAAGTGGTGGGGTTGTATACATTCACTTTTAGTTGGGTTTATGATTTTCTCGATCAAGAGGGTTTGGAAGCATTAGTGAATTATGTATCTAGAGTAATACACATGGTTATGAGGTAAGCCAGAATTTTAATTCATTTTCAAATCTATAACTAAACAGTTTCAAAAGGTTTAGAAAATGTTCTATTTTGTCGTAAGTTACATAATGCATGGGTTTTTACATGTGCTAGTTATGTCTCAGACTAAGAATTTCCATTTACCTACACCACTTCAAACTGAATCATTTTAAATGTGCGCTTTTTTGTTGATGAAATGATATATGTTGTTAACTAATAGTCTACTATTATAAATACATGAGTATGGAGTGATTTTTGTCGTTTGATTTGTTTATGTGAAGTTAGAATGCTAATATTTTTAATTGTCTGTTGGATTATTGAAATTACTTGATGTGATTTAACTGGCCTGGGCCGTCATATGGGATGATTCGAATGTGGTTCGTTCTCACTGATAACGATGAAATTCAGGACACGTTCAGTCTCACCTAACTAATATGCCTGCTCACATTTCCGTATATATTACAATCTTTACATAAATTCGAATTTAGCGCCAACAACTTCAAGTACATATGTTGTTATCCATAAAACGATTAAAGTATCATGATAAATGTAGGTATTAGCTCTTAATGTCAGTGAGAATACTGGTATTTTATAAAATATAGGTAGATATAACATTATTTCATAATATGACAAGACGCATATTCTATATTTCGTCAATAGTCGCCATACAAAGAGTAGGTTGATAGTTTCTCCTCTTCAGAACATCTTGAGAACGCATGGCTTTTTATCATATAATTAATATACTTTGATTATAAGTTTGATGAACAATAACGTTTTATCGCTTTTCATAGCTTGATTCCCGTTTCTGATTTATTTATAAACAAAAATAGAGTTTTAATCATCCCTTTTTTTCTACTCTATCTTTTCGTAAACTGAGTCGACCGATTGTTTGCATGCCATTTTAATGACTCCAATGTAAAAATATGCTTGTTCTAGTTAACTAGCATATATTCACACCTATTTGTGCTAACATCATTTCTATTAATTTAATTTTAGAACTGATTTCCGCCCTACCGTGGATGCCATTCAGCAACAACGTTCTGCTCTTCTAGGTTCATTTAGCTCGGATCAAGCAGTTTCTATAACTGATCTGTGCGATAATATTAATGAAAGTGATAAAGTTGGATCTGGTTTATGGTGCTCTAGTTTAAGGAAAAAAAGACATGATCGCATTTCTTTTTCGCCTGTTCATGTCCGACACATATCTGATTCAATCAGGGATAGTCTTCATCAAGGTGTCAGATGCTTTCGTGCATTACTTAATAATCAGGTTTGTTATTATACAACATAATTTTCTTGATGTGGGATTTTAACTAATAGACTAAAAAAGGTTTTAGGGTTCGAGTTGTTGTTTACTACAGCAGTATTTTCATTGTTTTTTTCATTATAATTCATTTATGCATTCCCTTATTTCATCAACACTCAACATTACTTGACTAAGTTTTACATTTAGTCTCTCAAACCAGTCAGATTTCACTGATAATACACTTAGTTAACTTTGAAGAAAGTGACTTCTTGTAAGACCAATGAAATTATGTTAATGATTTTTGACCAGAGTGTTATTGGAAAGCAGCGTTCATAATTTTTACCCACATAAACAAATGAAACATCCCTATTCATCTTTCTATAATGTTTTTTCAAATATTCATTTACTTTCGTATTTACTCATTTTGATAGCCATCTCTCTTCAGAGACAAGTATTAGTCTTGTCTTTGCGTTAAAATTTAATGTACGCTCCTTTTTGGAACAATATCAAGAAATTGTAAATCATTGTTAAACTGTGATTCTTAAAGCAGATACTATATTTATACACACTATTTCTCTCCAGATATATTTGTTTGGTAATATACTCTGTTTGCGTTGTCTTCGCTATTTATATTCTTGGTAGTCAACGAATTCTTTCGACGGATTGAACCAGTTTGCATTCTGGGATGTAAAGTGTACATTTCTAGCCATTATAAATATCACCGTAATTACTGCTTACAATAAATTACTCATACTGTGTAAATGTGTGTTCGTCTTATTTTTTTAGCGTGGTTGTTCAATGGTATTTGAGCATCCTCATGCCGTGAATGTTATTGCTCTGTGTCTCCTGCATCCAAGTTACCAGTAAGTTTCTTTTAATGACTTTAAAAATATTAAATGATCATTCGTTAGGTCAAAATCATTTGCAAATTTAATTTGTTGATTTGCATCAAATGTCTGCTTATTTCATTAAAATAAAAGTTTAGTTTATAACTGCTCTTGTAAGTTTAAGAAAAATTTTTATTATTGTCACCATTGCAGTTGATCTAAACTACATTACTCAAATCTCACGTTTGACAAGAATTCGACGAGAACAATTAAGCTTTTAGTTATATTTCTCAATGTTATACGATGATACCTGTGTTCACTCTGGGTAATAATGTCCATTTGTTTATGCGAACATGTCCGACGATTCTTCCAACAACTGAAACTGGTTTATGATATATTTCAACTATTCTGTTATTGATGACATATGTTTATGCAGATGTCTGTCGCGCATTTCCACACTGATTTAAAAAGAAACATAATCAGTGCTATCAGAATAGTCCAATGATAATGTCTCTGACTGTGGTACTTTTGCATGCTGATTCGATTCATATAGAAGTGTCAGTTCTCTCAAAATTGTGAATGCTCACCGCCTATGAGTGTTAGCTAACACAGGACGTAAGTTTAGAGATTCTCGATGAACATCTCTACTCCCTTAACATCAGAAATAGCTGATTGCCATGCTTTGTCCTTCAGGTTAGTAACTACACTGGGACCTGTTCAACTGGATTTCAATCAAAGATAAGTAATAAACAAGATGGTATTGTTTACTACTGAGTGATCAATTAGTGATAATCGCAAAGCTTCCTATGTTGTAAATGCCAGATGACATTATTACTGGAACTGTAAGTGAAGGTCCTGACTGTACAATAATTTATGAAAGCAATGGTATTCTTTCTAATTCTATAGATTTCTTACAGTATTTGTATATTTATGTTAAATGACAGTTTTGATGGGGCTTATTTAACATTAGCTTTAAAAAGTTTTTATCGTACTAGTCATCACTTTGCTAATAATTAGGCAACATAAATTCTCTCTAAAATCGGTTTCACCACTGTTTGTTAGCTCTTGTGCTTTTTGCTGTTTAAATGGCAGAGTATTTTTCCTTTCTTTTCCCTTTTTTTTAAAATCATACCGAGCTGTTGGTCTCAAATCTTCAAACAAAATCGCCGATAATGTATGAGAGTTCACTTATAGTTGGTCTTTACCTATCCTTCTTGTATTAACGATAATAATGGTAGGCTTCCATAGACATTGATTTTTATTCACGGGTTTTATTTTATTTTTTTTCAATCTAATTGTTATTATCGTTTTGTTTTTCTTTTCATTCTAAGAACAAAAACCTTAGTACTTGAACTTTTAACTGTTGTCTGCTTAATCACTGGTGGACATGAACGCGTATTAAATGCATTTGATAATTTTAAAAAGGAAGTTGGGGAGTCTACACGTTTTGAATATTTAATACATTATTTTTTCACACATGAATCTGAATCTCCAGATTATAATATGGATTTTATGGTAAGTGTAATTACTTTTATCTCAATTTATTAAATTTCTATTGAATATTATGATTTATTGAGATTGATCATTGAACTACAAAATAAAAATGTGCTGAAATAGTGTTTTCAAATAGTTTTGAGAATAGTTTTATATATTTTTAATAAACGAGTTATTTAATTTGGATTAGTGTTTAATAATATTTGTGTGTTATTATTGTTCGGTATCTTTGCATTAGTCTGATGTCACGAATTGGAAAGTTCGATTGTAGTCTAAGAACATTGTAAACAATGCATGTACTTATGTAATTTTCTAAAAATTCTAGGGTCAGTTTTCACTTTTAATGACACACAATAACAGAATTGTCAGTTATATTTTTACTTCTTTCTATATTGTGCAGCCTTCGTATATTAACTATCAACGCAAACTGACTACATTTAGTTTCATGGAATTATGGAAGGTTCTTACCGATGGGAATGCCGAATATACTTATTACGTTAATCATAGTTTTTACAAATATCGAGTTTATGCTTAACTTTACGGTAGTGAATTATCGTTTTTGAAATATCATAAAACATTCTTATTAAGAGTAATCTAACGGTTATTGGAAGGTAATGTGATATTCAGTGTCATATTTCATGGGTTTCTGAGCAATAATATTTTACTGATATCTTTTGAATCTCTAGTTGTTTGCTTTTTTACTAGTATTTTTGGATCATTTATTTCTATTTAGTTCACTTCAACACATCTTGTTTTCTGTTTTCTACTCATATATAAACTATCAACAGTCCATGAACAGAAAGAAAAGTATAGTCAATTAAACGGCACACAAACGAGATATCGGAAAGCCTAATGTGTTATTACATTTCTTAATAGAAAACAGAAAACAAGATATGTTGAAGTAAACTAAATAGAAATAAATGATCCAAAAATACTAGTAAAAAAGCAAACAACTAGAGATTCAAAAGATATCAGTAAAATATTATTGCTCAGAAACCCATGAAATATGACACTGAATATCACATTACCTTCCAATAACCGTTAGATTACTCTTAATAAGAATGTTTTATGATATTTCAAAAACGATAATTCACTACCGTAAAGTTAAGCATAAACTCGATATTTGTAAAAACTATGATTAACGTAATAAGTATATTCGGCATTTCCATCGGTATACTATGATCATAGAACTAATTCTTTACTTTGATTTAGTGAAATTTGTTACTGTGACCTAATTCTCATAATTCCTTTTTAGTTCGTGGTAAACCATCAACTGCTCGAGACCTCATTGATTTTTCAGTAGATTACTGACAATGTAACGCTTTTTAAGTTCTTGAAATCTAGTTATATTATGCATTATGCATTGATATTTATTGTTTTATTTATTATATTATATTATTTGCTCGTTTATTCATTCATTATTTAGCACAGTTTTATTCATTGTTACAAATTAATTTATGCTGTTAATATAAACCATGCGATTCGAACTTAGTACTTAAAAGGGTAAGCGCCTACCACAAGATTTAAAAATCCTAGATCTGATTTTCGGTAGAGTCGTAGATACTCACTGCTGAGGAGTCTTATTCTAGTCATAAGTAATTGTCTAATGCTTCATGGTCTTCAATCGTTGTTTAACTATGGTCAGTCCGTGATGTAAACTGTAAAGTATAAATAGTTGGGTTTCACTTCAACAACTCATCATTATGTCGCCTATAATGATGGTAGGTTTTACCCTTTATGTACACGTTATACCATTTGTGACAGATAAAAGTTTCCAACTAAAATGAAATAACTGTTTATTAGTGCTTCCTGTTTCTCAGTTATTTCCTACTTTATGTTAATCCATAACAAAAAATGTCCTCTTAAAACAGTTAGTGTCACCCTTTATAAGGTATAGAAGTGCTTTTATATGAAGTCTTTTAAACTATGAAGTTCATCAATTATCTTTCTAATTATTACTTCGACTCTCTTGAGAATCGTCGATAACCTCTTGAAGAATTATCTAAAAGCCAAGAAAAGTCTAGATTACTGATAACGCTTTATCTAATTTGTCTTTACAATTACTAAATTGCGTTACTGATTTTTACACATTTTCTCGGTGCTTTTAAGGTCTCAAGGTCGTCCCACGAATACCTTTATTCTTTGTAAATGATCTGACCCTCAAAATGAAGCTTCTACATTTTACCATCCTCTGTTTTCTGTTAGAGGTTAAATAGTAGAGGAATTTCGAGGACTAAGAGGCGGCTAAAAAATTAGTGTCTAAAATATTTAGACCATATGACTTATCAACATCTTAATTTCCTGGAAGCTATTTATTTTCACACTTAAATCATGGGAGTAATCAAACAGTAGCTCATGCCTTATTCAATCCAAATTACCAATATCACCCCTAATGAAACAAAACAGTTTTAAATTCGAAATGTGTGTAGGCGCGTGTACGTGATTTTGTGTTCTTGTATGTTTCTGAGGTTTATAAATATGACTCAGACCAATTACAGTGAGTACTTTTTAGCATATTGAAAAGAAAAAGACTACCTTTTTTAAAAATTGTAATTGCATAAATTTTTATTATGAATTTCCTTTTTTTGTTATTCTTTTTGGGCGGATAATTTATTACTCACCACATAAAAGTGTTCAATCATTATTGTCTAATTAATATTCTACTTGTCTAATTTTAGACAAATTATTCATTGGTGCAACTCGGAATGCATTCTGAACAATTCGCACTTAATCCATACTAAAATGTGAAGTACACATTAATTACATAAAAGTATTTTAGTAGTAAATCTTTTATGTTATAGTTTACGGAAACATCTCCATTTTTTCTCTTTTTTTATCTCCCTCGAGTAATTTCTGACCACAGTAATTATATTACATAGGCTTTCTAATTAATTTTGTTCATGGCAACTGAAGTTAATCTAGCGACTGAATATTTCCTACGTTTCACAAACTCTTTTTTTTATCACTATTTTCATTGTAATTATAATCGTATGGTGTATTGGTTCATTTTCAGGAGGTCATTAATGAACCTTTCATTTAAGAGTCTAACTAAATAGTAAGGCTATGTCAAAAGGTTCATTCACAATGATCAAAGTATTCCCATACTTTTTTTCTTGGGGTTTTAGAGTCCACGAACATGGTTAGTTTTCAATCAGGATATTCCAACTATCAAAATATATCTTTCGTATTCATTAATTTAACTCCTTGACATCCAATTTCTTTTTGTTTATTGTTTGAAAATATGTTATCCATGTAAAGGAGGGGGGGCGAGAATCCTCAGAAAGACATTAGAAACACATGAACATAGCATAGCATTTTTAGGAAGAAGCGGGACCCAGTTGTACTTTGACATTTATCATTAGCTTGTTGTATCATGAATTTTAAATAAACAAAAATCATAGTTATCTATATAAATAACAAGACTGAGTTTCCGATAATTTTCACATTATGATTCATTGTGTTAGTATCTTCACTCTCATATTTAAATTGTTTACATTTAGCTAATTCAATATTTGTAGATATGACTTTAATAATGTTTCACTTGTCGCTAACGCTTCTTATAAAATTCAAACATTTTTGAATAATTTAACAGAAATCCATTCATCTAAATTCTTTTCGTCACACGGACAATATTGTAGAGTGGTGGATTTGTGATTAAATCACTTGACATTCGATTAACAAGTTCGAACTCTTTTTTCTTTCTAAATGGAATAGAGCAGCCAGTTAGATTCATTAGTCTTCACATAATCACGTAATAGAAGTTGAGTACGTAAATGTATTTTAAATAAATTAGTTTCTTTACACATAAAATTATATTTCGAAAATATTGTTTCTTATTTCGTCGCAATTATTTTGATTTAATAATTTTTTTCTTTTCTTTTTATTTTTCAGGTATCGTGTATGCAGTTTTTCAATATAGTTGTACATTCAACAGATGATATAATGTTAAGAGTATATTTACAAGAAGAATTTAAACATCTCGGATTAGTTAATTATTTATCGGTGTGTGTATATTTTTGTGGGTATTTCAACAAAGTTCTGTGAAAATTATTGTTTTATTTTACGAAGACGATTTTCACTCACAGTTAAGATTGGTTAATGATAATCTCCTTATTCAATGTTATATGTTCAGTACAATATGAAATTCTCCGCCTACAATAATGAATGACCTGTATGTTCAAGAGCATAGGTGTTTGATCATGTCAGTCCTTGTAGCGTGATAATCCTGTAATATATCTATCAAATACGATTTTGTGAAGCTTTCGTACTTTTGTTTGTTTGTGTAGATTCTAATACACTTGTGTTTCTTTCTACCAGAAGACATAAAATGGGAAAAATGTGAATTGATGGGAAGTTCTAGAATGAATGGATGTTTACAACTAAGTAACCAGAACGATAATATAGCTGATTATTCTCTATCTCTCCCTCTTTTGGGTTTTCAGTGTTTCGTCAACTGATATCAGTCTGTGATAGAAACGTTTTCGGAAATACATTCTGTGTGAGTGAAATTTCAAAATCAGTATCATTAGCAGAAGTAATGACAGTAACAGTGTTAATATAAAATGTTAGGCATACATAACCTGACTGGAGAAAAATGAATCCGTGGAACAAATAATTTTATAATATAATTTTAGAACTCAAGAAGAAATGGAAAACGAAGCGTACATGTATCTACCCGAATCTTGATAATCTTATCTCGCTTTACTGGGCCAACTTGAACTAACGCACACATATGCTAGATTCTACGTTGCTTATAACCGACTATTTGCACAAATGTAGTTGATATTTTGTCAATGATAAACAGAAAACGACACTTTCAAAATTGTGATTGTTTTTTCTTCGTTTAATTACACTTGTAAGCACATATTTCATCCATTACTTGTATTTATAGTTGTGTGAATTAAACGATCTTATACAACGATACATAAAATCAGGGCAACCGCTTTTTCTTAATTCTTTGGTATTTATCTTGGTCTATCTTTAGTAATTGTTTCTCTCCAAGTCTCTCGAGATTCAATCTTCGTATTTAGTTGCGTATTGGACAGCATAATTAGCAAAAAGTAGCCAAAATTTCAGTGCTCAAGGCTGATTGTTTAGTGAAGTAGTGAGTGACGTTATTGTCAAAATTAGGAACTTCAGCATTATCGATCTGTAAACATTACATTTCTCTATCCTGGTGTTTTAAGTTTTTTTACAGACTTTATGTATCTTATAACTCTTGACCATATGAACTTTCCGAAGTTATTTTTATTCCAAGGTCACGACATTAATTTCTGTTATATAACATGAGGTTATTGGATATTTTTGTAATAATATCCGTCATGCAAATATAAGGTCATATGTACAGTGAATAGGTCGGGATATTAATATTTTTTGGATATTAGGTTATATTTATTAGCTATGAATATTATAATAATAATTGGAATATTCATAAAATTAATAGTGAATCTGTCAGTGAGGGAATAATTGTGAAAACAGAAAATTCGTACCCATGTGTAATTTGTATCTTACGATATGTTGCTTATCATTAGGATATGAATTTGTTCATCTTACAAATAATTATTGCTTTCATAAAGAAAGAATAATTTTAGCTACCTTTTGACTTTCGACCAGTCCATTAGTAACTGTTACCTTCATGATGGGTTATAACGCCAAAATTATATATCTCGTAACCTTTAAAGCTCTACACTGTGATTAAATTCGCCGAACTTTGATAGATAACTTATATGACATGTTAACATTAGTCTCTCTACTGAGTGTTAAGTAAGTTGGTTTAAACAACTAAGAAGTTCAATCACGACCTACATAACTCAGTGATGTGTAGTCTATAACTGTCACACTGCATGATACTAGCTAAAATCCCAAGATAAATCATGGGGTTATTGATTTCTGATATTTTCTTTCAACTACTTAAAATGCTCTCGTTAGTGTTTTTCTACAATTAACTCGTTTATCATGTGATAAATTTACATTTTATCCATCTTTTTGTTACAGAGAATATACAATCAATCCGGTGATCGTCTTCTACGTCAAATAGAAGCATATAATGATAATGAAGTGGATGTTGCAGTGTTATTAGAAGATTCACAAATGCGTGATGTGTTACAACAAGAGAAAGAACAAGCAGAATCAGATCTGATCATTTTACAAACTCGTACAGCAACAATCCAAGCAGAATATGAAAATAAATTATTGGAGCTTCAACAAAAAATACAAGCTTTGGAAATAAAAAATCAAGATTTAGAGGTAAACATTGTTTCTAAATATTGAGAATATTGAAATAAGTTATTAGTTTTCGTGTTTAAAAGTTACTTAACCTTCATAAACACTGACAAATAAGTCATAATATACGATGCCAAATATATTGTTTCATAAATGTTATTCAGTACTTATCGTATTTCCTACCACACTGATAGTAACAAGTGATCTTTAGACGTTCTGAAAATGTAACAATTATCGGAAAAGTTTATTGACAGTCTTATAAAGTTGTCAGCTTACACATTTTATATCAATAATGTATAATATGTATGAAATTGTATTATGAAACAGTAAAAGTGTATTTTAGAATATTCCATGAATTGAGATCAGTAATAATTGAGTACTTAATATTCTCTTTATCTATGTTCTATCGTTTACTAATAACGAAGTTGTAAAATCCGTCTGTGCATATTTCTTTGTAACTATGTTTAGTGCAAATTTTATTTCGTAATTTAAATATTGTCAAATGTTTCTCAATTGTTTTTTGATTAAATTCAAATCTCTACATACCTTAGTAACATTTTACTTATTACAGACAAATTTATTCAGTTTATTGTTTAATTATTATTCTGTTCACTTATATTATATCTTGTTCCAAATAAATGAGTTAACCAGCTAACTAATACACATAAACGTCTAGAAACAGTCTATGAGAGGTTTTTTCATCCTGAATTTCAGTTTTTTTTAATCCATTTCACCGATTAACTAGTTTTTTTGTATGTAAAAAACATCAACTAGTTTCTTGCCTTTTTGAAAAATATTCATTGTGGTTTTTCAAATATACAGTAGTATGTACTGTGCATAGATTCAACTTCATTCAATATATTCTCGCCATTTATATATATTAGTGATTAGTTAGTAGTGTTTATTTCCATATCTCTCCCAACTAGATAATGGATTTATTGACTTTAACCTCTTTGTGATCGACTGTCTAATCTAAATTTGTGTCTCTGCTTTTCCTCTCTTCCTTCTTTGCGTTTTATTCTGTTTTCCATTTCATTTATTTGGTTTTTATTTCAAATTGTTGTTTGTTTAATTATAAAAGTCTTATACTGTATGACATGGTGTAATTGTTTCTATTCCATAATGCTGTATAACATTGATTATAACAGCAAATGTAATAATTAGTCAATGAAATTGTTATTGGTGCATATATGTCAATTAGAACGTTAAACACTACTGTTAGAGAAGGAATTGATTGGATGATATATGATTATGATTGTTCAAAACACATATGGATTTGTTTATCTGAAAATACTTGGTGTGAGGCTGTATGCTATGAATCACCAATTATTCTTTGTTTTTGTCTTCTGTTTCCTCTTACTTTCCCTTCATCTGTTCCTTCAGTTTTTGTACTTCATGTGGACAAGTTACTGTCTAGTTTTTTAAAAAAATTTTAAGCTTTAAAAATAATGGGAAATGGACTAAGTATAACCTGGTTATTCGATTATAAGTCTTAGTAGCTTAGTCGTCTGTCTGTTCTACTGTCTTAAGATTATATTAACTACTGTTGTATAACTGTTAACCTCTTCATTTCTCGTAATTCCTATCTACTATGAAGTAATCATATTCCTTAATCTTGACTGTTATTCTGAACCGGTGTTTCTGAGCTCAGAAATTCAACAATCCATCGAGCAACATCGTATTTGTTATATGGAATGATAGGATTATCTCAAAGTGTTGGCATATTCAGTTTATATTACCCTTAAACATACGTTCACGCATTCCAGTGTATTAATTTCATAAAGCAGTTTAAAAGTTTAGACTAGTTTGTCGTCCTAAGTTTTTGCTTTTGTTTAATTTAACCAATTCCTAATTCTCACAGAATGAAATCATGAGTCAGTTGAAGCTAGATCACCATTGAAAACCTGGAAGCACTGGACGGCCGTTTTGTCCTAGTATGGGACTCCTCAGCAGTGCGCATCCACGATCCCGCACCCCGCGGGATTCGAACCCAGGACCTACTGGCTTCGCGCGCGAGCACTTAAAGGTTAGACCACTGAGCCGGCATCCAACGGTGTTAATGTCTAACTTCAACCAATCCACGAAGTTGCGCCACTATATACCATTGTCTTGGATGCCGGCTCAGTGGTCTAATGTTTAAGTAGGTCCTGGGTTCGAATCCCGTGGGGTGCGGGACCGTGGATGCGCACTGCTGAGGAGTCCCATACTAGGACGAAACGGCCGTCCAGTGCTTCCAGGTTTTCAACTGACTCATGATTTCAATCTGTGAAAATTTCTAAAATCTCCACAAACCCCTTCTGATAATTCCTAGTTCATTGATTTCTCGCTTTTGTAATCAATATATATTTTTACAGTTACTATTATTACCTATACATTATCACTGTAGAATCAGCGCACTAATCAAGATGGTCAACTGTCTACACTACGTGCTCAACTATTGGATAAAGATAAAAGCACAACAGAACGTGAGCGTAATTTGCAACAACGACTACGTGAACTAGAAGATACTTTGAATACAGTTAAAAATTCACAGTCGAAATCACAAATACAAGTGAATGGGATAGTTGGTAACTCTACCGAATCGATAAACACAACAAGTGGTGTTATTACTGCTGGTGCTAATGCTTCACCACCACCACCTCCTCCTCCCCCTCCGCCACCACCCCCTCCTCCCCCGCCACCCCCACCACCATCTGCAGGTGGTATACCACCACCACCTCCTCCTCCACCGGGAATGGGTGCAATGGTGCCTGGTGCAGAAGGCTAGTTTTGTTTTGTTTATCGTTATATCATTTTAAATTTTTTAAAAATATTGATGTTTGTTCCTTTTACTACACTATTTTTCCCATTAATAAATTTGCATAATTAGTGTGGATGAATTTGTAAAGATTGTAGTATTTTCAAAGTATAAATCGAAAACCGATGTTGGTTAGACCACTAAATACCTTGAGGTACTGGACAGCCGTTTCGTCTTAATATGCGACTCCTCATCAGCCTACAACAACGACCACACACACGGTAATAGAACCCAGGCTTTTCGGTTTCGTGTTCAAATACCTGACCTCCAGACCACTGAACCGGCAACCAACGGTATTACTGTCTAACTTCAACCTATTCACGATATTGTGCAACTTTCATCCATTGTCAGTGATGGATAACTGTCTGACACCCGACAAGGATTGAATCACGCTGGTCACACTAGAACTGCAGGAGTTATATCTTGAAGCTATTCGCTAGCGGACACAGTAGTCTAGACGTTAGGCGGAGGGTCCTGAGTTCGATTTCCGCCTACAGTGTCGTGGATGCGCACTGCCAAGTACTCTGATACTAGGACGAAACGGCTGTCTAATTCTTCCATGTATTGATTGATGGTCCAGCTAAAACCAGATCGTGATTCAAATTTGTATCAAGCAAAAGCAATGAACTTTGCTTAATAATATGAATTCACTTTTGCGGTGTCACTTCATCTATTTACGTCTATTAGTCAGCTATAACGTAGGACCAGGCACATATATGCAAGTTTACAACGTAAAAATAATAGTACTCATTTTTTTTGTAAAACAAAACTGTGTACATACTTTTTACCATAATATCAGAAATGTATTCTTAATTATTTATTTAAACGCAAACATTGGTTCAAGGAGGCATCAAATATATATGTGCCACACTTCGTCATTCGATTTGTATGACGGCTGGAATATTACCTGGGCTCCAAAACCGGAGCAGGGTGTTTTCTTTGGGGACCACATCACGAGCTTTCGACCTAAAGGTCTTACCTACAAAGGTTATAGTGCAACTTTGGGAGATGCAGTCCCATGGTAGCCAGTGACCAACAATCTGTTCATGCGTCATTTATTCCCACAGCATTCTGGAACCCATGTGCACCATTGGTTTTGAATCAGGGTTTTCCAACTCTCCTATGTGGATCCTCCAAAACCCACCAGAAAGTATTGTTATCAGTAAACGTTGTTATATTTAGAAAAAATTATAAAATATGCTTTTATGGTCGGATATCTATATGTTGGAAAGTGTGAATATTCGTGAAAAAAAACTCAAGGATACATGTTGCTAAAAGCCTAATGATAAAAGGTACGTAACGTCAACTAAATAAAAGGGTTTTTATAGGACTGAAATAGTTGGAGCTCAGACAGAATCTACGAAAGAACAAAGAAATCAAATTTGTAATTATCATCACAAAATAAGGTTTCACGGAACGAATTTTCAGAAACTGAAGTCGTCAGAACAGTGCAAGAATGATAGCATCATCCTTTTGAATGCATAAATTCAGTTTGAACCTTTTAGTAACAATGGCCTCGGCAAAATTTAATTTTTCTCAAGTTGTTTATACGATCTTAAAATGCCAACGATTATACACTATCAAATAAATGACGAGTGATTGCGCTGCTTATTTGTCGGTATAAGTGGATGATAAATCATAAAAGTAGGAGTGATCAATCTGTAATCGAGTTACAGTTATTTTTCATTTTAATAACTAATGAGTTATATCCTGTTTAAAATATATGGCACATGTGTTTCCTTTAGTCTTTCATCATTTTCTATTTCTTCATTTATTCTTTCATATTGAATATAGGTGTTTCCATACGACCGCCCATACAAACTCGATACAAATTACCATTAGTTAATTGGGTCCTGTTGAAAAATCAACAACTTCGTGGTACAATATTTGTTGGCATGAATGATGAAGCTGTTTTGGATGCATTGGATACTGAAAGATTTGAAAATCTTTTCAAATTGTCTAATCAATCAGTGAATAATAGTAATAAATCGGGTGTAAATAATCTGGTAAATGGATTAGATCAGAAAGACAGTCGAATAAGTAAAAAAGTTGAGAAAAAATCTTTAATGGATTCAAATAGACATCGGTACGTATTTTTTGTGGTTCCCCTGTTTTCATTGTTCATTAACTAGCCTTATTATTATTATTATTATTATTATTATTATTATTATTATTATTATTATTATTATTATTAAATCTATATAGCTGTCAATTATGTCATATGCGTCACACTTATCCACTAATGACATTGGAAGATGGTTCCGTTTTGTCGCGGATTGATGGGAGTCAAACCTGTAACACATTGGTTACCAGCTCAATAGTTTAAAGGTTAAGTGCTTTCTTCAGGACCTGTGGATCCTAGGTTCGATCCCTGGTGTTGTCATGAATACGGATTGCTAAGAAGCCCCATGTTAGGACGAAACAGTTGTTCAACACTTTCTGGTTTTCAATGTCTGTCTGACTAAGAACCAATCCGCTATGTAAACTATGTAATAATTACTCTGTTAACTATGTTTTGGAACACAATGGAAACATTTTTTATAATCATGGGCTTCTGTTAATATAAATTAATGTCATTCAGCCCTCATACTAATGTTATTAGGGACTCGTCTTTTTCTTTACTACATTATTGAAAATTATTAGGTGAACAATAAATGTTCTGCTCATTTTGGTAACTTTAGATTGTTTCCAAGAGATATAAAAGTGGTTGTTTCACCTGTGAAAATGTTGTAAAAAGCCATTCATTAACCTTATGTTCGAATTTTTTTACGCATAGTGGAACTAAAAATTAAATGTACAATGCCGTGTAGCTTTGTTTATGCGTTTGTTGGGGAAATATCATGCCGGTTATAACCATTTTGTTGAATGCACACCAATTTGCAAGTCTGTCACCATTCTCGTTCGTTTCTTCCAGTTAGTCCATATTGTCCCATGATATCTTCATACCTGGTGTTATCTATTCCGACATTGGCGTTTAAGTGTCCGATCAGGATGGTCAGATCTTTTCCTGAGCACTTTACTATAATTGATTGCAGTCTCTCGTAGAACTAATATTTATTTTCGTTGTTGCTATCATTGTTCCGAGCATCGTCAAGTCGTATCTCCTCATTCCTGTAGCTATTTCACTGGTCCTCTCAGTCTCCCACATTGTCCGAGCATTCCATATACCTATATTGATGGTTGCTCTGGTTGTTAGAAGGGGCATCGGCCTCGTGATTTCCGAAGAATCTCGGCTTTCACTATAGGGCTTTATAGTTCTTCCGAAAGTAGATCTTCCTAGTCCCAGAAGAGAGTTTAAATGGTTTAAATTGTTTATTCTGGTTAGTATTTTTTAACAAGGTTGTTTTCTACGGGACGAGGTTTGTAACCACATGCCCAACTCCCGTCTTTTACCCAATTTCGAGGCCGACAATAACCCTAGAAAAGCTACAGGTGGATTCATATATATATTATTAAATAGTTATTCAGTTCACTTTGATTTCCCATGGCTTATCGGTCTAGATTATTTTGTAATAATCTAAAAACTTGAATGTATAAATTTGCATTCATTCATAGTCTTTTTATTTCTTAAAATCTACACCAAGTAGGAGGGTAACTAATTGGTAAACATGTGAGAGCATTTCATGAAAACATTATTGTAACCAAACCGCGTAGAATAGATGCAGATTACCTTGTTGGTGTCCCCATGATCGGTGTAGCCGATGGTTGCAGGCCGTGAATGGCATGGCTCAGAATCGGTCTCATTAAGGCAGATACATACACGTTTTATCTTCCGTTACATCTTGAGTTCTAAAATTATAAAATTATTTGTCTCACGACTTAATTACTCCTCGGGTTATATTAATCTATATCTAAAATTTTATGTTATTACTGCTACTGTCGTTATTTTTACTGATCCAACATTTGTCTTGATAGTTTCATCTCGCTGTACTGATATGGTCTGTCGAGTCAAATCAATGCACTTATGTTCCAGGTTTTGCTTTGCTTAATACTGACTGACTAACTGTTACAAATTTATAAGATATTTACGATATAAGCCTTACTACGAAAATCAGATCTCCAAATTTATGGAAGAAAAACGTGTTAAAAGTTTCCAATTTAGATTTTATTAATTTATTCACATTTGATATTAGCGCATACTACTTTATGTACGTAAACAATCGGTCTAAGTATATACAATATATATAATTAGTAAATATTTGCCTATTTGTTAAAAGGACATTATTCTGGTATAATATTTTAGATAAATAGTACTCCATCGATCTATTATTATTATTATTTACTCGTATATTTGTACATCATGATACTAAAATTTAAGTGTCAAATGAATTAATATTACAAACAGGATATATACATAATAAATTATTAATAATAGTTGTACCATCCATTATTTGACCGTAATAAATATTTTCTATGGTTTAGTGAAATTGTATCAAATAAAGTTACAACTGGTTAATCAAGTCAAAAAAACTTTTGAAAAAAATGTTCCTATTATCTATGTTTATTGAATACCATTGTGCATTACTAGCTTAATGTATCGTAAATAAAATGTATTTCATTTCGGTTTTACAATTTGTAAACTAATATATCATAAGTTATCTAATTATTGGATAACTGGTTCTGGAACTATGTGATTTTAACAGTTTCGTACTCAACGTTTCCTACATTAGATTAAAATGTGAATCTGTTATTACTGATGTTTAATCTTAGAATATGATTGAGGATTTGACTGTCAAGATCTTTCAAAATGAAATAGTTGTTCTAAGTTTTCAAATGCTTCTCTGATGATTTCATTCGTTCCCGTAACTGGTCTGAACACTGAATCTCTCGTAATATTTCTTGTACAGGTTGACATTGTCGAAATACTGCTGATTGATGCCGAAATTTTCTCAGAACTACACAAATTTCTATCAATCATTTAGTTGATTAGTATCCGATCACCACTTATTGATTCATTTTCCAATGAGTATCTCCCAACCCCAGTGGGGGGACTTATCCGTAAAGTTAACTAAATCGATAGCGAAATAGTTGCCTATTGAAGAAAATAAGTAGTGGTTGTGCTGTTTTATTAATACGTTAAAGTTTTTAAAAAAAAGAATTATGTAATTCTGACTTGGCAGTCGACTGTTATTATGTTTGTACGTATATTACCAGTATAAAGTTTTATACGGAAACTCGTTCTCTTTATTCTGTAAAACTAAACGATTTTATTGATGATTGGAAATATTTGGCACTTGGGGCTATCTTCTTCATCAACAATAAACATGTTACTTGTTGATAGTGTGTCATTTGTTACTAAATGTTTATATGGAAACAATTGAAAACCAGACAAATTTAGCTGGATTCATGAATCTGTTGCCATTGACAACTACTTCCATCCTACTTTCGTCGTAATTGTAAATTCACGTATTCGAGGCTTATATACAGTATACAACAGACAGTCTCAGTGACTTAGGATCGCATATATTGGTATGCATTATACTCTGTTTCATAATGTACACTGAAACTCCTATAATTATTTGTGGTATATTTCCATTTATCATTGAAATGTTAGGTAATTAATATCGATTTCTTATTTTGTACTAAAACTTTTGTAATTCAAACTGGTGTTTGAAAAGTTTAGCTGTCTAATCGTTCTCGTAACTAAGGTTTTTTATAATAAGCCATGGAGATAATGTTTACTATCTAAGGTTTAGTATAACGTGAATTTCTCTTTATCAATAATCAATAGCTTTTTGATATGAAAGTTCCTATATTTCTATGTAATATAAAGTTATTACACCAAGCGTTTATTTTCTTCTCTTGGTGGCTCAGTCATAGTAAATATGAAAACTGATATTAGTTTATGTCACTATTCGCATCATTGCATCTTAATTGTCTATTCGACGTTAACATATGTCATAAACTAATGATTACGAAGAAAATATCTGCTGAATTTTGTCTCAATAATATAAATAGTCAACTCAGTGCTTTTTCGTTAGGACGTTGAACATTGATATGTTAGTAAATTATGTTTTATGTTTACACACAATCATCAGTAAAAATCGTGTCATATATTGATCGGTAGTGTTTTTTTTTCTTAAAATACACCAACATTTAGACTTAATGAAATCTCTTTCATACATTTTTTTCTCATTAAGAAATATGTGGTATTGCCGTACACTGGTACATTTTGTGTAACACATTTCACAATATTCAGGTGTGTAAAACGATATGTATGCTAGGTCACTAAGTTGAATCGACTACCAAGTTAATCAGTTTTTTTAAGCAATTCTCACTTCAATTATGCTAATAACACTACTCATGTTTATCTCCGCTTTTTTGTTCCGTTTCAGTTGTATTGGCGTTTTATTACGTTATTTGGAATCTGAAAAATATACACCAGAACGTTTATGGAATGATATTAATCGTTTAGAACTAGGTCAAGATGTAACAGATCGTATATACCATCAATTGCCAACAGCTGATGAAGTGAAAACTTATTTAAATTATGAATTCACTGAACAACGATCTATTGATGATTTAACGGATGAAGATCGTCTTTTACTACATTTATGCAAAGTTGAACGTTTAGGACCTAGATTAGAAATTATTTTATTCATGAATTCATTTGAAGATAATTTGAATGTAGTGAATTCGGTAAGCAATTTATGTCTTTAGATACGATATTGTAATGTCTAGTACTATATCAAGCCACAAAAATATATCTAATATCTAAAGCAATAATTTTAAAAGTAATGAATTCAACTTGGCCATGGTTTCATCACTGTGTTTATATGAATTGGAGAGTTTATTGATATAACAAGAATTTGTCTGAATCCATTTTTTATTATTTGACCGCCGATATATATATATATATATATATATATATCATCCAGAGAAATGTGTCTTGACCTTGATAATACTGATTTAATTGTCGTTGCATAAAGTGATGACATAAAGTCTAATCAAATTATATTTATTCTAATCACGAACATGTGTATTGTATCCTACTGAAGTTGAAATTATTTCTACGCAACTGATCAGACCATGTATTTACGCCCACTTCTAGTTGTGCACAGTGAAGAAACAATCATTAGGTTTACATAAAACTAGATTGCTATATGGCTGCTAATAGTCATATGGCTTGTGAGATTTATTTTCATGCTCAGTATGGATCATGTTATAAAGGTAATAATTTTAAATATTGTGACCTTGATTTCAAATAATTAAAGGGTAGGATTTAGTTGTGTAAGAGTGTTCGTCCTAATAATAAAATGTATGATTATAAATTATTCGTCAAGTCACACTCCTTAAACTAACCCTTACATTGTAGACAATTTTTTTTATTACGTTATTGTATTCTGTGCACTTTGTCACATACATCAGTATATGTTTAGTAAAAACGTGTACTTGTTTTGTGTATTTATTTATGATCATTGATTACGATTGCATAATCATTTTCAACTAAACCGTATACTATATGTTCACGGATCAAATTGATTTTCAGTAATTTATGTTTATTCGTTTGTCATAATTTATTTGGTGTCTAACTTTTCTCATGGAGCTAATGTGATTCAATAAAAATCCCCTTAAACTCTATTGCTAATTTCGTAATATTATGTGATAGTTGTTAAGATGTACTTCATTTTATGTACTTGAATGCTTGGCTCGAAAAATATCAACAAATTTGTCGGAGATAGCTCATTTGGTATACATAGCTGTAAGTTACAATTATTTTCAGCGAATATAAACCAACTGTAATGTCAAGAAACTCAACGGTTATTTTATGATGCAAATGGTATATGGTGGAATGTTGCGGCATTCCAACTACTGAAACTTTCTGATGTGAATGAAATCGCTCACATTCCGCAATATGTGTGATTCAGTGTTTAAAAATCTCTATGGCTACTGGTAAATGTAACAGATTGATTCAGCGTCTGTTGTTTCGAAATTGTAATTTATAATTTATATGTTCACTATCAGGTCCTAGTCTGGATCTAAAATTCTTGCTGATATATGCTGCATGTATCTAGTTTAATCATTAAGGCTCCAATTGTTCCTTATTTTCGCCATATGAGACTAATTGGTGATACTTTTGTTGAACGAAACTTAAAGGGTTTAGTTTAGTTGTAAGAAGAAGAACTGGAGCCTGTCCATTTGTTTAGAAGGTTAGTTTTTATTTCGAAAGTATCTTAACTAAGAATCCTTCAAATTATCTCACGCTTTTGTGTAATGTATTTTATCCACGAGAGACAATGAAGTTAAACTAAAATGTTCAGTACCTATTTTCAAAGGATGATTTCTCAATTTCGGTCGCTCCCGTCTTTATTTCATGAATATCATTTTATATCTTGTCGACAAATTTTACCTATAGTCTTGTACTTTTTTGCTCTAAAAAATGTTCACATTGCCTGACTTTATTCCCTTTTAAAAGATTATCATTAAAATATGACTCACCGTATTGGATTTCAATAATCATCTACATAATAAATATAGATGAACAGATTTTAGTTTTGTCTGAAAAATTGAGTCGATTTCATGAGTATACGACCGAATAGTAAGAAGAGTTCAACACACCATAATTTTTTGTTATCTACCTTTCTACTCTACTTATATCATACCCTCTCTCATACATACATATATATATATGTATATATATACGCTGAATTATTTGTCCTGTTTCATTTTCATTATTTTATCAGAAAATTATTGCTGTAAGATCCGCTTCGTTAGCATTGAAAAACAGTTGTAAATTTAGAGCTATCTTAGAAATTATATTAGCTTTTGGCAATTATATGAATAGTTCCAGACGTGGTATTGCCTACGGTTTTCGTTTACAGAGTTTAGATGCTGTAAGTTTCCCTTTCTTTTTTTCCACCTATTTTGTTTAATTATGTTGCTTTTTTGTCTCACTTATTTGGGAAATTGTCGACCGTTGTTTGTCTAAGCTATATTGGAGTTTGGGCAATAGCTAAGATCAGTGGTTGGTGATGTTGGTTGATATGATTTATAATCGTTTATAATGGCACAGATACATTCATCCTTTCTATTCTCACCACATCAATGTTTAAATTTTGTCATAATCATTGCTACCATATGATTCAATTTCTTTGTTAACTTCATTTATTAAAATATGGTATGACATCTTGACTCACCTCTTATTTGTGTTACAATATGAGTTGATCATAAATAGCTAATTTATTTTACCTAGACCTGTTCAACGTTGGTCGTTTTTCACATAGTGGGATAACTTTGTCTTTCATTTTCTTGGTTATCAGTTCCTATTTGTTTCTTTGAAATGACATGATTCTAGTGAATTCCTTTTTTGTATTACTGGTTACACATCAATAATTAAAGAAAATTTATTGGTCATCAGTTATCAATTCGTAGACCGAACTATAAAGGTTTACTTTAGATTCATGTAAACTAAGTTGGGAATCATTACTCTTAAGCTTCTCGTTTAATTAAACACAGAATACGCTAAACATAGTCAATGGTCATCTTTCTACCTACACCATAACTATTGAATACTGACTACTTTCGTAAATTGTTCATATGAATCATCTTGTTTTTTTGTATTAACTTAAGCTGCTTATTAATTTGGCAAGTTGTAAATTCTCTGTTTTCATTTTGTAACAATAAGAACTATAAATATGGTTATTGTTTCTGTATTATTGATATAAACGTTAGCTTTGAAAGGCATAAAGTAAATGCCTATTAGGGATTTTCTTGATCGGTTCATCAATAATTAGGAACGGTAAGTGTTGTATATCTGTCTAGCCATCGAAGGCACTTTCCTGTTCGAAGAAGATTAAACGAGTAATTGAAATTGTGAAACTTTTAAAGCTATTCTCTTAGTAACCTATATATGTATAAATATACAGATTTTTATTAAGTATTTTTATGAAATAATTGGTGGATAGTATTTTTACATTCTCGTAGTTGTAAGCCTTCAATCGACTGATTAAATGTTGCTACATCTTTTATCGTTCATAAACTACGGCTTTTAAGTTATTAACATGTGACTCGGATTTGTACCACAAATGTCTTAGTAGTGTACATATTAAATACACTGCATGATTGTCTTGAATTATATATATATATATATATATATATATATATATATATATATATATATATATATATATATATATATATATAATCAGGCGTAAGAGATTCAGTAATATTTTATGATCAATATAGCTCGCTCTAGAAGCACATATATGTGATACCTCTCAAGATAAAACAGACTCACTAAACGTCGCAGAGAACGCTAGAAAATTGATAATCCTTCATCTTGCCTTCTATTAGATAAGTTTTGTTTGGTGATGTGTAATACAGAAAATATATTAAAACATTGAGCTCTATTCTCTATCGTCTCATTAAAGACGTTTGTTCATGTATTACATCAAATTTGAAGTTTTACTTTGGCTACATAGGTTCTCAGCGTAATAACAGTCGTTATGCGTACCGTGTAGGTTGACGAAAAACTGACATGGAATTATTTTGACCCATGAAGGAAATGATAAGAAACTAACTCAGTCAATAAAATCTCTCACAATGTATCAGTGTTTATAATTGTTTCGACAAGTAATCTAGACCGATGGTTCAGTTCTATTTGAAAAATTGAAAATCGTTGTACTTGTTTCTCAAGAATATAAAATTACTTTGAGGTTGAATAAACAAATCTGATTTTTCTTCTTATATTAAAATAATGATGTGAAGGACACTTCATCTCTGAAATCATCATAAATCACATCAGAGACGTCAAAAAACTACGTTTTCACAGAGTGGTGTATTCATGTATCATATATATTTTCAATATCTTTCTCTTTAAAAGAGAGATGATAGAGCAGTTCAAAGGATATTTCTATGACGCAATACTTTAATTTGAATTAATCCCCTCTGCTGAATTTCAAGTCCTTTTTATACAACGAAATAAATGGGAAGTTGAAGATCACTAAAAAGTGTTTGTATACAAAAAAACGTTTATATACAAAATATAGCGAGTGTTACAATGATGATGTGATTAGTAATTTGGTTAGGAAAACGGCTGTGTTCGTTGTTAATTTTCCAAAAAAGTAAATTTTAAAACGTCCAAACGAGAAGATTAAGAGCTCTCAATATTAAGATCACACCAACTATCTAATGGATCAGTATAATTATGGATAAATTATAATAAATCACATCCTAGTCATTTTACGAAAGTTTCCTTCATGATTTCCTGTATTTTTCACTTCACTCTTATAAATACCCACATTTTTGAAGCTATGCGTTGAAAAGTTCACTTCTATTGGTTATTGTACTCCTTTTTAGTTAAATCGATATTCATCATGTTTATTTTACTAAGTATCAAATTTACACTTTACTTTCGTCTTGCTTTTTTACATATACACTTTGAGTTGTTTTCGTTTTTGGTTGTAAACATTCTGCAAAAGAATATGAGCTCATTACATTTCGGTCAATTTTCTTCGAACTAAACAGTTATAGCTTGACAGTAAATTGTTTTGATTAGTGCTTTATACAATAAGTTTGTATAACTATGCTCTTATATGCAATCTTTCTTTTATATATTACCACCATTTTATTAACTACTTCTATGAATTCGGTGTTCATCTTGTTGTGCTAATGAAGTATGGCAACTTGGACCAATGCTCATATGTGCCTGGTCCTACGCTGTAGCTGACTGACTGACGACACTCCGTGTGTGACTAGAGAAGAATACTATACGGTTTGTGGTGTAGGGTTTTTTAATATTTAGCTAATATCAAATCGCGGTGAAAATGTATTCGACGATTTGCAACGTCAAACCTAACGTATTTGTGTATAGGTATGTAATGTTCATTTTCTTTAGTTTCCAACTTATCTTTTTTCAGTTATCCGACACACGGACTTTGGATAAATCGTGGACTCTGCTTCACTTCATAGTTGAAACAATTGAAACCCAATTTCCTGCCCTAGTTAATTTTGACGATGAATTGACTGGTGTTGTAGAAGCTGCAAAGGGTTAGTTGTATTTTATATAGCATAGTAAACTAGAGATTCTTTCATTTAACTAAAATCATCACATTGTGGTCTGTCAATCTTTACTTGTACATCATATTAAGTATTCATAATAAATTCCAAATCCATCATTTGTTACTAACGTCACCATGACTGTTTTGTATTTACAAGACTGAAAATTAATAATTTGATGAAATCACTTAAAGGAAGGTTGATTTAAGTGACACTGAATATTTACAGTCTTATCATTATTGACATCATTATTTCCCACTTTTTAAATTCTTCTTTATAGTCGCTCTCTATTATTTATTTTAGACTGTTCTCATTTTTTTACATATGCTTACTCTATCACACTCACTACATTTCCCAATTTTAACGTCGTTCTTGTTAAAAGCGGATAGTTTAGACGAGTAATCAACTAGCAAAAAGACCTAGGTCCATAGTTTCCTTTCGATTACCTCCAACCATCTACCATTTCAACATAGTTCACCCGTAGTCAGGTCACAGATACTACTGGCCAAATTGCAACTTGATCAATATAAGTTAAACAAAATAACATGGGTCACTGTTCAGTCATCAGTCAATATAAACAGTTTGAGAGAGTTAGTTAGCTTGTACAACGTTTACGAAAGCTTTTTAAATACTGTATACTTATACTTTATAATTCTTTATATCAGCATCTTCTTTGTCGAATTAACTGAGCTTGGAAACAGTTGCTTATATCTAGTTTCACCTTAACTTATATAATTCTATAGAATTTATAAGTATTTTTACCATGGTTAAACATAATTTGAGAATTGGATAGAATGTTAATCATGAAATAATGGTATATTTTTTATATTCCTAACTTTCCGAAGTACTCTGCAAAAGTGCCTTACACTAAATCACTAAATGTCAAGCCCACTTTTTAGTATATTACAAATATATCATTATTTCATTATTAATAGTAAAGTTTAGTCACCCTGTGGGTATTTATAACATTTTTTTTCGTTGTTATATTTTATAGCTATTGTGTTTTTAGACTCTTGAAAGATTTCCATTACATCATATTATTACTTCTATTTAAAATACTATAATTTACCACCTACTATGCACTACTCTATATCTCATATGTGATATTTGATAAGTGCTCTTCATACTGTAATCAAATCGACAAATATTATAGTACTACGATCATTCAACTATGGATTCATTGAGTTATGCGCAGTCTGCATCCTAATACCATATTTTTACTTTTATACTTATTAATATCAGTTAATAATGTCACTGAGAGCCACTTATTCTGCGTGTATATAAGGCTGCTGAATTGCGTATTCACTGAATCGTGGGGTCGTTCTGTGAAGATTATATGTTATCGCATTTATATAAAGATTTGATCGATAACTTTGTACATTATAAACCTTGTTTTCAATTAATTTATTTGCGATGAGTGTTTTTCATTTCAATTCTCGCTTAACACTTTATCTCAAAGTATAATTTACTGAATATATTCACTACTTCTGTGTCAGCTATATTCTATAGTTACTTAATTTATTTGAAATATACTCCTTTGGTTAGTCTTCCAGTTTAATGTAGACAAGTATGTGTTCAGCTCATACTGTCAACATTCAATAGCTTATCTTAAATCTTTCCTAAACACATAGTTTTTATTTTCAACCTAAAATTTACACTTTCACTTAATTGAAGAAAGTATTATATCTTGTTATTATTCTTAGAATTAGCATTGACTATTTTGATCTATACTTCGACTTTAGTTCCCACTTACCATGTATATATAATATATAAAGATGTACACATGAAACACTTAATGTATTCGAACAGATGTTCATTAAATGTGTCATATTATATATGCATAATAAAACATATTTTTCCCATTACCATCGATAATCAGATTGCTTTTAGCATTACTGATCTAGAAATATATTTTTGTATTAATTACTTAGTTTAGTGAGTTTTCTGTGCGGTGTTCATTTGTTATTGTGATGCAATGAACCAAAGACAAAAAAACTACTTTCTTCAAATTGTAAAATGGTCAATGTTTAATAACCAAAACTATGTGTTATAAAATTATTGTAAGCCTCGTAACATCATTTTATGATATTTAGTTAAAACTTCCTTCTATCCAAATTGCTTTGAATTCAAAGCTTTCATTTTCTATTTCCCTTCAGCTTGTATTGTAAAACAACCGAAACTGTTTGTAGTCAAATATTTACACAAATTACCTTAAACACTTCCAAGGTATTATCATGTGTCAAAGCATAATTGTCGTACACAAATAGTATAAAGTACTATCAATCAGTTTTTATTAAAGTAAGATTGTTGTTAGCAACGGAATCCAAGATGCTAATTTCATCCTATTCAGAACAAGCCAGTTGGATATACATAGTTCTTAGTGTTATTATTCACATGAGAACTTGATTCCTGTACTCGTCATTTCAAATACTATTATATAACCCATAGCTAATTACTTACTCGTTCAATCAGTATGATATTCATATCTCCCTGTTAGTTATTTAAATATTTGAATATTTCTAGCAGTTTTATATCCATATCAAGGAAGATAATCACATCTGTGTTAATTCGCCCCATTCTTTTTTCCCATTTGAATTTAATTCTTATTTAAAATTCTATTTTATTTACAGTTCCAACAGAAGCTTTAACAAATGATGTAGCAGCATTAGTTTCTGGTATGTCACAAGCTGATAAAGAGACAATTATTTTTGGTTCATTGAAAACACCACAACGTTTATCAGATTTTGTATTGAATAATAAATCTAAAGTGGAATCTATTGAAAAGCAAGCAGAAACTGCACGTAATATGTTTGCTAGAACAATTGAATGGTTTGGTGAAGCGCAAATTAAACCTAGTCCAGAACAATTTTTCAGTTTAATTGTTCGATTTATTAAGAATTTCAAAGTAAACATATTATTATTATTATTATTATTGTTATTACTATTATTATTAATGTATTTCCTTGTTAGTAGTGTTGTTGTATTTATTATATACAATAATGATTCTGATCATTGGTAATATATATTTAAAGATTAGAGCTTTATATAAACTTATTAAACGACTATTGAATCAGCTATGTGTTCATCACTTATCATGACGTAATAATTTTGATTTAATTCGTGTCATTTGTACTTGTGTGTACGCATAATAATCTGTGTATTTTGTCATAAACTTTTAAGGTAAAGTTGTAAACAGATTTTACTGTAATTATCGATTTTTAGTGTTGTGTGTGTGTGAATTAACGGGCATCTATAGTGTTTTATTAGTGCTTCATTTGTTTCATCAAAGACATAATGACCTGGTTGACAACTTTTTTTAGTGATGACTCTTGACGCTTTGTTACATCGAGTACTTCCTAATAGTTTTTTATCAGTAAAATGTCTAGCCGCTAAATAGACCTCCAGATCTTATACGACATAGCTCTGCCACTTTTTTAAGTAGCTTGCAAAATATTTTGTGTGTCTTTTTCAGAATGCAATAGTCGACAACGAAGCACGACGTCGTGTTGAAGCCCTTCAAAGTTTAAATTCTGTAACCGGTGATGATAATGGGCCATTATCATCAATCAATCAAATTTCAATCAACCATATTCCAAAAAGACCAAAAGATGTAAGCATTTGGTGTTTAACTTGTTGTTTATCAATTACAGTGTAGTCCTATACTTTATTTAATTATATAACCATCTTCATTACCATATCGTTGACGAGAGTAAAGTATCTAAACGAGTCTATCGAAATAGAGTACGACCTTCAGGCTTTTGCAAAAAATTCAAATGGCGTGCTTAACGAGTAGGTGAAATACCTGTACATAATCCTCATAGCGAAAAAGGTTATTTCGCCAACACAAAGCAAAAACGATAGTGTTCAACATATGAAATTCTCAATTATTTGTCAACTGTACATAATAGGCAAGTCGACAAGACCTCATCTTAACCATGAAACTTTTATTCTGTTGGCACTATATTTTATGAACAACCTCATCAGGCAACGGCTCCTAGATTTTTTCGCAAAATCCATTCATCCATATGGCTACAGAGCATTATTACGTTATAGCCCTAATCCTTACCCTAACAAGAGACAATGCGGACATTTAAAAATCTATTCTAATCCTCACAGTTGTTCTCGAAAGTCGATTATCTATATCCATAAAGACGAATTTATTCCGTTGTTTTATCGATCCAGTCAGAGTAATCTGTAGAAGACTTTAATAAGTTCATTTATTATCTGAAATCTGTTTGCCTTATTTGATTTTTTTTTCCATAAACTGTTCATTTACAAAAGCTGTTTTCTGATCGATTAGATAAAGACTGGCTAAAAGTTCATCACGGTTGTTTTGAGCTCTCACTGAATCTTCCTTCTATTATTATTAATGATAATTATTAAATCTTGTTGTCCATTTCATGCAGTCATTAATAATCTGTAAATAATATCTGCTGATTACTCTTGTACACTGTAGCTTTTTCTGTAAATCCAATACTATTACAGTTTCATTTCTAATCTATCAAGGAATTCACTTTTTAAGTTAGTATTTTCTGCAACTATTAATTAAAACACTTAAAGTTGTGCTCTAAAATATAAAGAAGTGAACGAAACTGTAGTGATTGTGTATTATCTATCTACTTTTTTGGTCAACAAATAAACTATTATTATCAGAATGGGTTTTGTGGAGATTTTTAGAAATTTCACAAGTTGAAATCATGAGCCAATTGAAGCTAGACCACCATGGAAAACCTGGAAGCACTGGACGGCCGTCTCGTCCTAGTATGGGACTCCTCAGCAGTGCGCATCCACGAACCCGCCCCCCGCGGGGTTCGAACCCAGGACCTACTGGCTTCGCGCGCGAGCACTTAGCCATTACACCACTGAGCCGGCATCCGGCGGTTTCGTGGATGCGCACTGCTGAGGAGTCCCATACTAGGACGAAACGGCCGTCCAGTGCTTCCAGGTTTTCCATGGTGGTCTAGCTTCAATTGGCTCATGATTTCAAATTGTCAAATAAACTATTGTTATTCAACTAACTTGATGAAATACAAAATAGTTAAAACTCAATGAAATATCACTGGATGTGATAATTCAGTATAATATCATATAAAATGGTGGTTTTGTAAAAAAAATGGTAAATTTATAAAATTTCTCATTAGTATGAACTTACAATTTGACATCATTCTAAATTCTTATATCTGTATGTATGCATCAGTGTTTAGGTTAATTATAATCTCAATGTTATTATGACTTATAGCACTGATATCTGTCAATTCCTCACATTTTTTTGTTTATTTTTGACTATATCTGACCTTCTACCTTTTTTGTGCATATAATTGTTTTTCTATGTATTACTAACTATTATTTACCTGTTTACTACGGGATTATTCGACTTTGAATTGTGATTCATGTATAACTGATGACTGGTTATACGACTGTTATACGAAAATTAATAACACAAATTAAATCATTTGTGATAATAATGAATTTGACAAAGTAGAATCTAGTGTGAATTGTTTTACAGTTGTTGCTATAGTTTACATTGATTCATTGTGATAAATTCTTCACTCATATAACTGTACAATACATTTAATTCGAGACTTTAACGATTCGTGATAAGTGATGTACATAAAAGACATTTGTCTGATTTGACAAACGTTGGTTTGTCAGTTGAACAATAGATTCGAGTGCATTAGTTCTTAGGTTGTTATAGGTGAAGGACTTGAAATCTCACAGAAAATCAGTCTCGGCCGTAATAACTTAGTTGGTATCGTCCCAGACCTTATAGCTGAATGACTCAAATTTGGATCTATCTGAGAGCATCATTTTCCTTCAGATTTCATGTACTCCTTGGCAGCTAATACCAACCAGCTAACATCTCGAAATATCACACTTTATGTCCACTCTCAAGATCCCTAAATACAATACAGAAAACACAAACCCAATCACGCTTGATGGAGATGTGGAATCTTTTACGTACCTAGAAAGCATCATCGAGGAACAAGTAGGATCCGATATGGACGTGAAGGCGACGATCGTAAAAGCAAGGACAGTATTCCTACAGTTGAACGACATATCGAACACAAAACAACTGTCTCCAAGCCAAAATCAGAATCTTCAATACGAACGTCAAGACAGTTCTACTGTATGGAGCTGAATTTTGGAGAACTACCACAACCATCATCAAAAGAGTATAAATATTTATAAACAGTTGTCTACACAAGACACTCAATGTTTGTCTTCCGGTCACCATCAGCAACAGTCTACAATAGGAGAGAACAAATCAGCTTTCAGCTCAGGAGGAAATCAGGAAAAGACGTTGAAAGTGGATAGGACACACATTAAGGAAATCATTAAACTGCATCATGAGGCAAGAGCTTATCTGGAATCCTGAAGGGAAAGGGAAAAGAGGAAGGCCGAAGAAAACACCACGTCTGGAATTGGAAGAAGACATGAAAAGGATGACTAGCAACTGGAAGGGATTGTCCAGGATAGCGTTGGATTGAGAATACTGAGAGGCGGCCTATTCTTCATCATGAGGAGTAATAGGAGTAAGTAAGTAATGTCTACTCACTTAGACATTGTATGTTCACAGATAAAATTTGATCTACACTAAAGGACTAAATAAAAACGATACTGTTTACTACTCAGTGATCAATAAAAGATAATGTACGCAATTCCGTGATAACCGCACCTTCATTAACTTAAAACTTTCCTCTTTTTCCCTTATTCCCTTACACACAGTTTCGTTTACTTGATGATTTCTTTGGTATTAGTTCTTTCCTACACTGGTTTTCTTACAATTGAACCTATTCACTAAATTGTTTTTCATCAGTATTTCTTATTAATAATATTATCCATTTATTTATCAGGATGTTCCTGTTTCGGAGTTACAGGTTTGTTTGAATTCTGCCTATTGAACCTATGCATGCATATTTATTTTAATAATAGTTAATGATGAATATCATTACATAAATGATTACAATTGTAATTTTTAATTCTGTTATCATAATTTGGCCTATTTTTCACATCAGCATCACCACTTCCACTGACTGACTCATTCTTCTATTTAAAACAAACAGAACAAGTCGTAATTTCAAAATAAAATCATTTTGCTCAATTGTAATGTAAACATTATTATTGTATCCAATAGTTCTAGTCTAAATGTTTTTCGGTGCATTTGTGTTATATATTTAGTTTTGTTTTATTTTGATGTGTTTAACTGGTGGACTGTTAATATTGAATTCTTTTTTTAATAAAAAAAGACATTTTAAATGCGTATTAGTGTTGGTGTATTTTTCTACAAGGTGTGTACTGATTAGTTAATAGTGACCAGTAATAATGCCTTTATCATGTATCTATGTACAATATATACTTCTAATCTGTTCAATGATATTCTAGATAATGTTAATCTTTCCTTTTTTTGTAAACCATTTTAAGTAACTCAATCAATTTTAAATGGTTTAAATTACTTTGTTGTGGATATTTTAACTGAAATTTGATTAGTTCTGTTTGGCATATATGTGTATCTTGTGTGGATTGCTTCGATATAGCCATTATGACACAAGTTAACATTGAATAGATAAAATGTGGCTTAGCAAGGCTAATCAAATTTCAGTAAAAATATCGATAGCAGAATAATCTAAACCATTCCTAATTTCACAGATTAATGGTTTTCTAGACTCAGTATCTAAGTCGAACACTCGACAACATTTGAAGCGAACACTACCAAATTCAAGCTTCGGAGTGAACAATAACTTTGGGATCCAAGTACACCCGGCTGGCAAGACCGAAACACAACGAAATGGGCGTCCTGTATTCCACTACCAGCTACATTCCATCTATTCTACATCATTTAAAATAATGTTTGAGTAATGGTAAATGAGTTCTAGATCATTATTAGTAAGGATTATATTTCTACTGTTGTCGAGTGCTTGAAGCTCACTACACTAGGTTGAAGTTCCAATGTTGGGCATCAGCACTGACATCCACGTGCATCCTTTTGATAGGTCTAAAATAGGCTGATATTTAACCATAATCAATTTTAAATTAGTTTTATTTATGTCAGTCCAACTTACACGAATATTCTTATCCAAGCTTCCCACGACATTTACGTCAGTAAAGATGATGGACCCTAACATTTAATATAAACTGACGGTGTTTTCCTGTTTACTTTTATTTTTAAATTCACACATTTTTTAATAGAATCTATTGTTTGTATAAATAAATAGACACGAACCTATATAAAAATTATAATGGTTTAAATTTCGATGTTGTAACACGTCCCCGAATTTTTTTAATAGGTAAACTGCTATGTTTATTATGAAATGGGAAATAATGTTAGTGGTAAAGTCTTTCATAAATGTCAAAATCACGTTCCGCTTGTTTATCCAGTAATTGAGATTCACATAATCTGAAGCAGTAAACAAAGTGTGGGGGCTGATACTAATAATAGTAATAATATCATAGAAGTTTCCATTGTATCTTCTCTCTACTGATATTGACATTCTAAATATTTTACGGAAAAACCATTGCAATGTTGCCATTTATACTTTGTAATTCTTTAGAGAAAAAAGCTTTTAACTAGTATATTACTGCAACTTTTGTATAATTTCAGAGAAACAAATTTAATCTCTTTTAAAGTTATCTAAATTTACTAATGAGGTAATTTTGTGTACTACTAATTTAGCTCTCCAATTCTTCATTGCATCATCCTTCTTTTGTTATTGTTTTCGGTGAATTAAATACTGTGCGTTGAATAATTTTCCATATAAATGATCAGAAATTTACTGTAATCTAAACTAGTTAGTTGAGCAGTAATTGTCGTCTAGTTGAATTCACAAAATATACAAATTGATTACTATAAACAGATAACTTTTTAAATTGTTCCATATCACTCTTAATTATGAATTGTAAATATGTGTCTGCCATTTGTTTATTGGATCGCATCATTTGAATTCGTGTTCTGCTTAACTACTGTTGTCTCTATGTATTATGTTTACTGTTTTAATTGTGTTATCTCAATGTGATCATACGCAGATGTCTTTTTCTGTTAACGCGTCAGCTGTAGACTCATGTGGTTGTCTCTCAGTCATACTAGAAGTGTGTGAGTTAGTGGTACTACTCCGAGTCACTAAACTGCAGTAGGTGTAGCAGGGTTCAAACGTATGATTTCGTGTGTGAAAGTCAAACATCCTAACCACTAAGTCACTGTTTATTTGAAATATTCTTATTGAGTGCTGTCAAATTACCTGTTTAAAGTCCGCGTGATTACCTTAACCAATGGTTACAGACTTTGGATGACATGGCAACGAATTGTTCTCAGTGGCGCAAATCCATTCACACTGTGCTTTCTCTTAAATCCTGAACCCCATATTTCTTCATAACTTTTCCACAACTAACGATACTGTCAATACTTCTGCTTCTTTGGGATTTGCCTTAGTAATGTTGTTGTGTTAATGTCATGTAGCGACCTGGGCCGACGCACATATATGCCACGTTCTACATTATATTTAACTGACTGATACGAAGTGCTTGTGTTGGCGACTTACCCAAAACTGTCTTGGATAAACTCAAAGAATATCCTAGAAAGTACGTGAAATGTTTTTTCATAATATGTTTTACAGTCAGGAAAACTTCGTTGTTCTTCGCTTAGTTGGTTATTGAACATTTCTAACTTTTTGTAATTTTCATGCTTTCTATATCATGGACTGATCAATGTTAGACCACCATTGAAAACCTAGAAGCATTGGATAATTGTTTCAATCTAGTGGGGTACTCCTCAACAGTGCTCATCCACGACACCACATCCAGGAATCGTACCCAACACCCTGAGTATCACGCGCGAACACAGCCTCTAGGATACTAAGCTGCGATTGAATGATGTATATATATATACCTTTAATCAATTAACGATATTTTTCCACCATCTCTTGACTGTGATGTATAACTATTTCATAACTGACTTGATTGTACTGCACTGATCACTGCTTCCCTTTGTAATCTGTAAACATTTTTTGCCAATAAAGACAAATCAATAATTGTAAAATAGTTTTCAAGTGCTATTAGGTGTTTCGCAAATATTTTCAGTGTTGTATTTCATATTTTCAATTTTTTAAACGGTCCACTGGGTGGTGGAAAATCATCAATATTTTGTCGATTATGTTCTTGTATTTTATCTATAATAATTTCATTAATGTTTTTGTATTCTTCACAATGGAGCGTTTTTCCGTCTTTTTTTACAAAGACTACTTATTACTCAAACTATTTTTCCCTTTTGGTAACAGAACAATCTTTAATTTTTGGGATCATTTAATGGTAGATTACACGGTGATCAGATTATATTGACTAACTTGAAGGTAATTGTTTCTACAACTATTACTATCGACCTAATATCGATAAAACCACTGCTGACAATGTAGCAAAGTGGGGTTTTTTATAAACAATATTACTTATTTAATGAGTGAGGTTGATTATTCTAGGCCAAACTTTACTAAGTAACTTGTTTATGTTTCGTTCTGTTCATGCACATAAAATGACTATGGGGTTTATTTCAATTATGGAAGCCTAATTTGTACACTCAGTGTACCTAAATGGTAACGTATTTGAAAGTGACACTAGTCGTAATCATCACCTCTCTAATTAATAGGCATGCCTATACTCCGATATGTTAAAACTATTATACGTCAGTATATCAATCGAATACTTCCAGTACTGTGTTATTTGTTCACTGTTTCGGTTTTTATGGTGAACTTTTTTGGATTTCTCCTCTTTATGTTTATCCTTTTCAGTATAACCTGTTCTAGACAGTTCTGTATGATATTTTCGTACTTTTGCAAAAATCTATATATTTGACACCAACTTACTATACTATGTGTAACTGATGTTTTTTTATTACGGTTACTTGATTTGCACAAGACCACACATAACTTTGTATTCAAATGTGTAAGAATATTGATTCAACTGTGTTGTGAAATTTAGTTGAGAGGATTGCTATATCCATTTGTTTAAGAGCGAATTTGGTTAATCGTTGTATGGTTTTCACTTTCTAGTTCTGTTTACATCACAAAAACATACCTACCCTACCTGTGTCAACGTTTTTTAGAATTTCGTTTCAGCTACTCGTTTTGTAAATCAGTTATTCTTCCTATCAAAACACCTCTAGGCTTGACTGTATATTTTATTTGAATATAGATTAAATGTACTGCATAATAGTGATCTTTCAAGGACATATATGTATACACTGTTATCAATTAAATATAAGCCACAGTGTTAGGTCAATTGCAAGCACAACTCTGTTGATGTATATCATGTTGTACGAGTACTGAATTTACTGTTAATTTCCCTACACCAAGTCATTCTCTGTTCATTCAACCATAAAACTCCACATTCGAAGGCTATAAGCTCCTAACTAACTAGTATTTCCTTTCTTTATTGTTTTACATTAAACATTACCAAGTATTTCCTTAGACTAAATTTGGTACATAATAAGTGAGACTATCAGTGATCTCAACCGTAGTAGTGTTTCTACTCCACCCAGTTACATTCCTTAATTCTAGTTAATACGGCTTATTATGAAAAGTCTAATACACTTCATACAATCCAGTGTTATATTTTCACCAAATTTACTTATGACAACATAGAATAATCCATATGAATACTTATTTTACACATCTTATCGACCTGTTTTACTGTTTAACGAATTTTAGTATATTGTGCAATGCAATTTCAATTCATCCAGTATGTTAGGTGATTGCTTCAAATATTTGAGAGCTGGATCTTCATTTTACTATCGTTTTTCTTATAAGAACACTTTTTGATTTTAAAACAATAATTTATTGGTGTTAAAGTATGAAAATTCACCTTAATTTTATCGAAATGAACACATTTTCTAATAAACTGAGTTTTTGTAGTCTGTCCAAATGATTTCGATAAATATACAAGTTTGGTTCATTTGGTTATTTTGAAGTTCGCAACTATTCGATCTCGTTTACGAGATGAATTTAATTAGTGACTTTCAGCCTACTAGTAAGTAGTATGATTTTATCGCTCATATTTGTCTTCGTACTTCAATGTGACTTTTTATAGAATTAGATGTAATCACTTCCTTCATTTTTATCTCAGTAAGTTGGTTTCCTGATTCGCGCTCACAATTAATGCTTTTAAATCAAATGATTGTTTTTGCCTTGAAAAGATTGATCTTCACATTTTTTCTGTGTGGAATCAGAAATTTTTTCTCTGCTTTGTAGCACTTGAGTGCGACTGTTTATTCTTCTTATTTTAGAAGCGTTTGGCACAAGAAGCTCGGTTGGCTAAACGGCGATTTAAAAATCGTACTAGACAGATTACAGGAGATGGAATGATGGATGAAATTCTAGCAGGTATCTTGTCATTTTATCGTTTTGTCTTATTTTGTACTGTTTTTTGACCGTACTTAAAGTATTATTATGGTGTGCACTGTTCATGTGGAAAAGCATAGGTAGTATATAGTGGGAACTGGGAATGAAGTGCTTACCAAAAGAAGATTGAAACAAAGAAAGGTGGGGAAAACTGGGAGCAATAGGAATAACAACTAGAATGGAAGAATGATGTAGTGTGTAAGGGACGAGCGAAGGAAGATGTGCAAATGATGTATTTAATGTCTGATTTCCATACTTTACAAAGGCCATGGTTTTGAATGAAAAAAGTAAGTTGGTTTCCCCACAAAACCTTCTTTCATACGCACAACTAAGTTTTTGATATATTAGATAAATATTGTGTTATTTAAAATATAATTGGAAATCGCACTCATTTTCTCAATATTTCGTAAACGATGAGGTAAAAGTGACATAAGGTGAAGATAAATTTTGAATTAGAAGTTTGAAATATAATTACCCGCTTAAATAAATATTTAAAGTGTTTTTTTAAAGTAAGAAACAAAGAGTACAAACTCCCAAACGTAGAAGCACGTTCTAGGTTCAAGGTAAAATGAAATATTCGACGTCTTCTGAATACCGACCACTTTTGTAACAATGGATTGCTAATGCTTCTACTGTTTACAATATCCCTATCCGCAATCCTTTTAAGCTAGTTTTTTTAAATCTTGTAAATAATATTGTTGGGTTACCCGATCAGAGTTGACTAGGTATATGTGAATTTAACCACTGAGTGTACTACTTTCTTTTTTCAATAGTCATACAATATAATGGTTGAAGATGCTTTTTGAAAGTATATACTTTGTGTAGTTGATAGTATAACTCACTCCATAATCATCTCATAAATGATTCTTACGTGAACCCTTCATAACTTTAAGCATTATCTTCTAACACCAAACAGTGGCAGTAACTGGAAATTTCTTTCACATCATATTCCCAATTGATTTGTTTTTCTATTATGAATTGACTCGTAAATTGCTTATTTTCTTGTCTATTCTACACTATGTGAGTTTTCCTACTAAAGGTTATCAATCTTTGTCCTCAAGCCGAAGATAAGCATTGTTGTATGTATATATTTATTTCATGCGACAACTAATTAATATTTTTTTGGTATTTTATAGTCTTAAGTTTTTCTATTCTTCGACTGTGCATAATGTTAATATTCATTAAGGTTTACTTGATTAATGGTAATAATGCATTAAAAATTCTTTAACTTCTCTGTAAACAGAAATTTAGAATGTTATCAACAGAAACTGTATCACTGTCTTACTTCCTAATCCTCATCATCGATGTTCACAATATTAGATATATATGGATTTAATAATCACAGTACTAATATACCAAAATTTTGTTGTCACATCGCTACGTGATTTGTTCTAACCCTGGTACAGAAAAATTAGTCTAATCTTTTTTAATTATCCTATCATCCATATGTATGACCTTGCCAATTACTTGCATGTGACCATGACGATGCTTGTATGCTAGTACATGGTGTCTGTCTCTTACGTACTTATCAGAAATGAATCACATATTACTCACTAAGTTGAGACATTCTCCTCCGCTTTGTATCTCTCATCTTAACGTCTGTCAGAGTCAATTCGTGTTTGAAATAAATTCGTCTAACTTATTTCGTATTTGCTTTTTTATTAATATCTAAGTAGAATATGCCAAATCAAATGGAGAATTTATGGTCACGGTTCATTCATCGTCCGTTCATAATGTAATCAAATCACAGGCCTAGACTAAACTTGTCATTAAACGTGAATAACTAAAAATAATAATAGACCCTGTGTCACCCAACTTCACAGTCAGAGATATTACCGATGAGACAGAGATGTATGTAAAATTGGTTGATCATTGAGTAACTCATGAGTTATAAACTAATCGATTCGAAATAATATTACTTACAATCGTAGTTTAGAAGTAAACAGGACAATTCAGTTTGAAAGGGATTAATAAAATATAATTTTAAACTTTCCACTTATTAACGTATAAATAGTGGATACATCTGCACCACTGTAATCGATCTTTATCCATATCAGCTTGATTATTTGTATGAGGGAGAGTTGAAGTACACTTATTTTTGTTTAATAACTAACCATCTCGTTCATGATTTATGAAAAATTTAATTAGTATTATATCTTCTTTTATTATTGTTAAAATCGTTAAATAATCTTAAGTATCTTTAAACTGAGAACGTACATGTTTTCTTTAAATACTACTATATATTATTCCGCTTAAAACTCAATCTGATGATAATTCATTCGTAATCCTCCTCCGTAGGTTTCTTTTTCATTTTCAACTATTATTGTTGCTTCAGTATGGGATTGTGGAGATTGGTAAGTTTTTGATTGAAATCATGAATCGATCGATGTTAGACCACTATTAAAAATTTGGAAGCACTGGACGGTCACTTTATCCTAGTATGGGACTCTTCAGCAATGTATATTAATCTTATGATTTTATTAATTTCGGTTAATTGAATCATTCAACTAATGATAATCTTTTTTTTTTAAAAATAATAAACACTTTATTTGTATTTTTGTACATTTTATAGATTTATTCGTATATATATTTATAAATGATAAATTATTTATTTTATTTCATAGGTCTAATATCGGAACCATTGCAAGCTGAGGTTCATCCACATCGCAATCGTTTATTTGAAAATAATAATTGAAAAGTTTTCGTTTTAATTTCTGTCCATAAATCAAGCAATTGTCCACACACACACTACACACCTATTAGCTTGTTGTGCACGCCCAAATCAATCAGTTAACTTGTCTTTTTGCTTGTTCATTACATTTTGATTTGTTCTTTTTTTTCTTCTTTGTAATTCACATTAGTTTGTTCATTGTGACTTAGTGTTTCTTATTGCTTGTGACGACTAGTCAACTGACAGATCTACATACATATGTGTAGTCTTCTGTTTTGATTGTGCTTCAATTAATTTATATATAAATATTAAGATCTTATCTAAATGATCATTATCATTTTCTTCTCTGTATCCAGTTCATTTAACTCACCATTGATTTGTTGTTTACAAGTTGGAGAGATTGACACATTGAAACATATTGTTTTGTAATATTCATTTGAAGTACAGTGTTTATTTTAAAAAAACGTTAGTCATTTCAAACCTGTTTTTTTTTAAAGAAAAATTTAGCTGGTTTGCATCAATATTTTTGTTTTGCTCTATTATGTTCGAATATATTGTTGTCGGTATTAATTAGTGTTATGTGTTGTTGTTGTTGTTGTTGTTTTAATATCCACACTGTTTTTATTTGATGATATTCGAGTGTTTGTTATGTGTTTGTATTATCACTGTAACACAAATTCCTCTTCTTTCTAAGTTGCCTTTTTATTAATTTACTTGGTAAAACTCGTTGTTATTGCTTTCTTTTGTTATATTTCTCTACTGATCATTATCTACAGTTTATTCGACTTAGATATTATGACTAATGATGGTTTCTTTATCTATGAAGGAAAAAAAAACATTCTTTTCTGTTCAATTTTGAATCTAGTCACATTTTTAAATGGTTATGTGATAAACTACATGTCTCTTCATCTCTCTCTTACTCCTTATTTGTTTACTGCCTTACTTGTCTTCTCGACTTCGAAAAGGTTTTTTATACTTAGGAAGAGGAAAAAATAAACGATGATCTCCCGGTTAACCAAATTTCTGAGTTTTTTTTAATTATTAAGACAAAACCTTTTGAAATGAACACATATATATATAATATCTGTATAATAATTATTAATAGTGTTTTTACACTGAGTTCAAGTATACTATTCTTTTTCTTTACTTACCTAATTAATATTCTTTTTATCTAATTTAGTCAGTTGTATTCTATATTGTTGTAGTTGTTGCAATCATATTGCCTGTTGTATGTTTTGTTAAAGTTGACATGTATTTGTACACATATTTATTAATTCATTGAAATAACAACCAAATATTCTTTTATTGTATTATGATTTTCGAATTATAATTTTCTTTTGTATATCTTCCTCTTTACTTACTTTTTGGTAGATTTATTCATAGAGTGTGTTAATCAGGAGAGATTTTATTTCCAAAATGAATTGATACACTTAAATTCTCTTCTTCAGAATTGAATACATTGGTTGTCTACAAAAATTTAACTTTTTTTTCTTGTATAAGTTATTTCACATTCATCTTTCATAATTATTTGTCACTTATAACTCCCTATGAATGTTGATGTGCTTCGCTTTGATTTGTTGATTGCATAATTGTGACAATAATGAACGGTAAGAAAATGGTTATACTGATATTGTTGTAAATTCACTGGACATAGTACTATGTGTTTTGTTGAAATGTTTTCATTTTTTTATACCAAGAATATTCTTCATTTTGTAATTGAACTTTGTATTGAAACTATTGCTTACGTTCATCTTGGTTTACTGTTTAATTTTTTTTAAAATTTCCTTACTATCCGTTTATAAATCTGTATAAAATATTTACGTGTTAATTTTGGGTTATAATTTATATATATATATAATATCGTATCAGGTTTTTGTCTTATCCAGCTGATCGGAGCTATTACATTCTTCAGATAAGGAGTCAATACATATTATTCATTCTATTCTAAGAAATAATTCTGTTAGATATTTTAAACTGTACACAGTTAATGACATGATCATTTTCCTTGTGTACTCAAGGGTAAGTTTGTACTTTTGCTATAATCCTTCAGAATTCAGTGATTTAACTAGTGATCTACAACCCATAAAATGACTTTTTTAATATCAAGTATTGAAAAACTAAAAAATTAGTAGTATATCCTAGTAATTAATAAAAATTCTATTTGTCTACTTTTCCCTATTTGTCATTTAATTTATTTGCATGTTTTGATTTTTAACAAACTGGTTGACTTATTCTTCAAAGATTCTTATATGCATCTGTTAAATAGTAACAGAGGATATAGTCTGAAATTGTTTAGTTCATATTAAATGCTAATTGGTCAGTAGTGTTGATAAATAGTGAAGTTACAGCTTGTTCTTTAAACGCTGCTGCATGTTTAAATAAAAATACTTTTCCGCTCAATAGTTTAAGAAGCCTATCATGTAGTTTAATATGTATACTAATTTATTCTATATTCATGTATTTATATATACTGAAAATACAAGGCACAATATAGTTTGTTAAAAGAAAGCAAATTTAGCCGTTTTATGTATTTGAACGAGGCTACATTTCCTGATTGTCTGAGTAAACAAAACTTTAGTTAAGGTGTAATTACAAGTCAAGGTAAGACAAGGTGTGAATATGTGGGGTGAACTTCATTAGGTACGTAATTCCGTTAATCTATCATTTGGCTTGATAAATCCTATCTGAAACTAAATATTTCTTGACCAGTCTTCGTTTTTTCAGAATCTACCTCTTGATGTGTGAAGTCTTCATGTGATCAGTTTTAGTCGCGTTTTTTTGTCAAGTGGATAATTGGAACTGTTAAATTATATTAAATCTCTCAATTACTGTCATAAATAGTTTGGTTGGGATTGTAAACAATCTATGAAATGAATTAAGTTTACATTCTTCTACTCCAGTTGTTGTACTGGTTAACACTTCTAAAGTGAAAAAATTCTATCTGAGAGAAGACAGTTTATACGAATGAATTAGTGGACGTTTTCTGTCACAGAATATTTCCTTGCTTAACGAGAATTATGTCAGTTTTAAAGGAAAGAGTATTCGTTACCAGTCGACAACAGGACTTAAAATCGGACTTACATTTTAACATATAGAAATACAGTTTTCTTAATGTAATTCGATTTACTTACTTACACCTGTTACTCTTAATGGAGCATAGGCCGCCGACCATCATTCTCCAACCCACTCTGTCCCGGGCCTACTTTTCTAGTTCCATCCAATTCTTGTTCATTTTCCTCATGTCCATTTCTCGGCATAGTGTGTTCTTCGATCTTCCTCTTTTCCTTCGGCCTTGAGGATTTCATGTGAGGGCTTGTCTTGTGACTCAGTTGGGTGCTTTCCTCAATGTGTGTACTATCCACTTCCAGCGCTTCTCCCTGATTTCTTCCTTTGTTCTTTCCCACAGTAGATTGTTGCTAATAGTGTCCGGCCAACGGATCTGAAGTATTTTGCGTAGACAACTGTTAATAAACGCCTGTATCTTCTGGATGATGGCTTTCGTAGTTGTCCAAGTTTCTGCCACATACAGTAGAACTGTCTTGACATTTGTATTGAAAATCCTGACCTTGGTGTTGGTTGACAGTTGCTTTGAGTTCCAGATGTTCCTCAGTTGTAAATATGCTGTTGAAGACTTTTCCCGGTATTGAGAGAAGAGTGATGCCCCTGTAGTTATCACACTTGCTGAGATCGCCTTTCTTCGGTGTTTTGATCAAAAGTCTTTTGGTACTTGTTCCTCATCCCAAATCTTACTGAAGAGAATGTGGAGTATCCTTGCAGTTGCCGCTACGTCTGCTTTTAGTGCCTCTTCTGGAATGTTGTCTGGTCCCGCTGCTTTGCCACTCTTGATTTGTCTGATGGCCATGCTGATTTCTTCAATTATTGGTGGGCCAACATCGACTGGGAGGTCCGTGGGTGCTGTTTCGATGTTGGGTAGGTTCAGTGGAGCTGGTCGATTCAAGAGTTCTTTGAAGTGTTCTACCCACCTGTTTTGTTGCTCTTCAATGTTGGTGATTACCTCGCCTTCCTTACTTTTCACTGGTCGTTCTGATTTGCGGCGATTTTTAAAGAGTTTCTTTGTTATGTGATACAGTTGTCTCACGTTTCCTTCTCTTGCAGCCTTTTCCGCTGTCGTTGCTAAATCTTCCACATATTTACGTTTGTCGTTTCTGATGCTCCTCTTCACTTGCTTGTTTACTTCTGTGTATTCAGCTTGTGCCTTGGCTTTTTCCGCTCTTGTTCGGCTGGTATTGATTGCTGCTTTCTTGTTCCTCCTTTCTTGGATCTTAGCCAGTGTATCAACAGTGATCCATTCCTTGTGATTCGATTTAAACCAACCCATACATTTACTGGGACAAAATAATCGTTATTGTTGGAGTTTCTTTGGGTTTGGTGGTTTAATTGTGAACCTTTAACTAACCTTCTGGACGAAATTTGCAGAAACTCGAATTCCTCACCATCTGAAGTTTGTGTGCTGTTGATCTCATCCAGAAGGATAATGTTGTACGACTGTACAACCCATCTCATACAACGAATCTCCATAAAATCAATCACCTGAACCACAAATCTTCCTTAATTCATTGTAAAAGCTTTACTACTTACAACAAAAACTTTATTCCTATTGTACAATTACAATAGTAGCCTGATCTGAAATGTTATTTGGATATTGCAACATACTTTGAACAATATTATTATTATACTTTGAATATCCTCTATTCAAGACCGCTGTTTGCTCTACCTAAGACGCTATTAATAGTAAATATTACTCATATACCACTTATATCTTAGACAACAATACTACTCTTTTCATCCTCATTTAATTATTTAACCTAACCTGCTTATACAAAATACATCTAATTGAACTGTCATAAAATCATTTTTTATTGAATCTTCTTGTTATAAAAATGCTTTCCTTATAAACCCTGTTGAAGATATGTGACTTCCGAATTCATATGAAGTAAATAGTCCACTGAGAGACTGATTACAGTGAAATGGAAACGTGTGCAGTAGATACTAATATCATCTAAGTCATTTTTATCTGTATTTCGTTATGTTGTCCGATATTGGTTCTCTTAGATCTTTACATTCCATTGATCTCTGTTCATTCAATCACTTGTTTCGTTTCACTGAAATCATGAACCGATCAAAGTTAAACCACCATTGAAAACCTGGAATGACTCGACGGGCGTTCTATCCTAGTGCGGGACCTCTCAGTAATTCACACCCACGACCCTGCACGCAAGAATCAAATCCAAAACTTCCGGTCTAGCACGCGAACGCTTAACCTTCAAACTACTGAGCCGGCATTCAGCTGTATTAATGTCTAACATCAATCAGTCCACGGTATTGTGCGACCATCTTCCATTGTATTTGGTGGGTAACTACCTCACCCCCGATAGGGTTGAGTTTCACTGATACTGGCTTCTCACAGGAACTCTAAGAATTCCCTGTCCAAGCTAGCCACCAGTGAGCACATGGTAATTAACAGCATAGAATTGTGGAGATTGTTGACTCTCACTGAAATCATTAACCGATCAAGTTTCCAATGGTTGTTTAACATTTATTGGTACATGATTTCAGTAAAACTTAAAAACCTACACAACCCTACACTGAAACTTGTTTCGTGTGTTGTGCAAAAAGTGAGTCACTTGGAACTGGTTTTATGCATCATTTTAATTGATGCCTGTAATATAGTCATCATTGAATATATCAGATAAACCTTAACTTTACGGAGAACAAAACTCACTCATGGACGTTGGTTAGTAGTGGAATCCAGGACCCGCGTCTCGTTCTATTATGGGCTCGTCAGATGGATTGATGTTCATTCTGAGAATCAAACGCCATTGCGTTTTTTCACTTAACTTCTGATAGCTATTAACTTGTGCATTTCTAGCCATCATCCATTCCTCCTTATAATGCTTGTGACTTAATCATCACAGGATGCACATATCCTAATAAGAGACTGATCGATTACAGTCCTAAACATCAATGCTCAGGATACATATGATGGCAGCAAGGAAAGTCTAATCATTTGCAATTTTTTAACATCATCAATGGAAAAATACATTTTCTGGAAAACAAATAAGTAGATATATTAAGCAAGTAAGAGGGTCACAATTTTCATAAAGTCAGTCAAATTAAGAGTAAGAATGCCACTCACCATTGAATTTGACGTTTATTGAATACTTCATAGTTTTCAATAATTTTTAATTAAAGTTACTTACAACAAGAAATCAACCTTTTCTAATACATACTACTTGAATGTTATAATAATAAGATAAATACAGGTAATGGTTGTTTATTAAGAAAAAATACAAACATATAAATCTTACAATTTAATTTGAATTAGTAAACAATATATGCTCGTCATCATTTCATTTGTTCATATGATGCATACAGAACTTTCAATGTTCCTAGATATGATTGACAAGTATTAACCATTATATCAATATCTATATTGATTTATATTATTATTATCTAATTTATGGAAGATATGTAACATAATGTTTATTCTTTCTTTTATCACTATCAATAACTGTATGATATTTTTTAGTTCCACCACCGAATTTCGACTTGCCAGAACGTTTCATTCTACCATAGATATCATAATTGAAATAGTTTCTAATTTTACCTTTTGGATCTTGTTTACCACTATGATGATATGAGATTGATTCTTCATAATCTGTTGTTTTTAAAGCATCACCAAATAGAAATATATCATCTTGTGGTTTATTTTCCTCAATATAATCATTATAATCTTGCTTTGATGAATATTTATATGGGTTATAATTATTGTTATTAGTAATACTATTATAAAGTACTTTGGCATGATTATTATTTTTACCATGGTTATAATTTATTGATGAATATATGTCTATTGGTTTATAGTTCACTTTTCTATTGTATGAATGATAATTTGAAGGGATATAATTTGATGGTTCACTTGATTCAGTATAATAATAATAATCATTTTTATTATAATCATTAATTCCCAAATTTTTGTAACCA